TTTTTTCAGGATGCCAGTTGTCCATCCTGGGCTTTGATTAGGCCAGTCTAAGACGTTCAGGTTCTTGGTTTTAAACTGCTTCAGTGTAGCTTTGTCTGTGTATAGAGTCATTACCATAATGACAGGTGAATGTCTACCCCAGTCCCAGGTTTCTTGGGCAAATCAAAAACATTTGTGTTATCTGTAAAATTTTTGTACTGGTTGAATAGTTGTTGTTTTTTTTCTTCAGCATTTAGGTTTAGATAAATTCTATCCATTAAATTGTTTTTGGAAAAGCAACGTGGATTATCTAAAAGGGCATGAAAATAGGCCAATTCAGTGTACTGCAAAATATTAATATAGATTTTGCAGAATAACCATATATGCTCATTTTCATGCATTTTTGCTCACAGATGAAGGTGAGAAGAAGTAATCAGTAAAAGGAAAAAGAATGAGCAGTAAAGTATCTATTCGTATATACTGACATTCTATATTTTAAATATATGATATACATAGATTTTTACTGCTCTTCCTTTACCCCCTTTATCGGTCACTTCTCACTTGATCTGTGAATAAAAACAACATTTTTAGTAGATGTCCCTTAACCATCATTAAACTTTTTTTCCCACAAATCATCTTTTTTTGGCTCCATGAATGGATCTCTAAATCACAAAACAAATTAAATGGCTCATACAATTCCTGTTTCCTGTGTTTCGTGATTCACCCGAATAGTGTTTTGTAGTTATGGAATTTAGACTAATCTATTTATTTATTTATTTGAAATTGAATGCACAAATCTAGTGTCTAACAGAAGAAACATGTTTTCCTCTTGAATTGTCCTGTACTTGGCTCTGTCCATCTTGCTCTTAATCATGGTCAGTTTTCCCGTCCCTGCCAACAAAAAGCTTCCCAGCAACACCGTGCTCCACCACATTGTGTCCCTGTAAGGATAGTGTTAAAAGTTATGAGGAGCTCTTTGTGCCAATGTTCTAATGTATCAGACCAGAGAACCTTTTTATATGTCTGCCACAAGCCTTTTAGCACACTTCAAATGGGATTCAATATATTCTGTACTTGCACCATATCCCATGAAGCCCAGTTTTGTGGAGTTCTAGGTAACAGTTCTGGATCTCTCTGACTGCTTCAGAGTTACTCTTATCTTGTTAAGTGATTGATAGATTAAACACTTTACATATCTAGATTCCATAGAACAAAAATACACAGCAGTGTACATACCAAATGCACACCATTCTTAACACATACTTAGCACAGTAATTTCAAACCCCGACCTAGTGATTTCTATTAGACTTAGACTAGACTTAGTTAGACGTTGGAAGCTTTGTGCATACAATTCACTATGAAAAACACTTTTACCAAGAATAATTTCTTTCATTTTGTATTCAAATAGAATAGGAAAAACACACACACAAAAAAAACCCTAAATATTATTGTACTCTATGAGTTTTGGTATTACAAAATATAGGACTTATTTTTATTATAATAAAGTATATAAACCAGAATTTGAAAAAAAAGCATAAACAACCAATGACATTTATTTATTGCTGTAGGCAAAATAAATTGACGTCACGTTATAGATACAATTTTGTTGTGTAAAAAAAAGAACAGAAAAAAGATGTCCGAACCTAATTATCTCCAGAAAATTTAATAGTAACTAAATGTCAGTAAAATGGTTAAAAAAAAATCATCATAGGATATATGGTGAAGTTTCTAATTTCCACTCCCAAAGAAGTAGAGATAAGCGGGAAGTGACAACAGAACCGGAACCCACAGCTGAGTTAATCGTCTCAGAGGCTGCAAGTCCATGCCATGTGGGACTGTTAATTCCCTGTCCTGGGGATAGGCTGACTGGCATGTTTAAGCTCCTGGCTGCATGTTAAAGTCAATTTTATTGCTTACTATATGCTCCTTCTTACTCTCTAGCAGATTTAAGCTATTTCATCTCTTCTCTTCCTTATATATGCCTCATATCTATAAGCTTCAGATGAAAATGCACTTCTAGGTGTTACAATTTATGAAGGATGTCTCCAATAAGTCTAGTGGTATACTAAGCTGTTGCCCTACTCCTACCATGTCTTCTATACAACTTTTTTTAGCAATTGAACCTAGATATATATACAGACATTTCTCACTTTATGAACTCCCGCTTTATGAACTACCGCCTTTATGAACTTTTTTCTGGATGCGCCGCCATATTGTTTCACCGCCATTCTGTGTCAGTGGTCCACGCTTCAGAACCCATGAGAGTGCTTTGGAGCACAAACAAGAAGAGAAGAAGAAGAATTTGTGGTCAGGAATAGACAAGAAGAGAGATGAGGATCAGGAAGTTCCTGAAGATAAAGGGAAGTCTAAAAAACAGGTTTAGATTGTACTGTATTCTTTTTGTGCTTTCACAGGCATACATTACAGATCCTGGACTATTATTGCCCTGTGTGCTATTGACTATAGATTTGACTTGATTTGTCTGTGTGTGTCTGACATAGCTGTCTGTGTGTATGTGTGTTTGCCATTGTCCTGTGTTTTGGCTGGCGGCAACAGTAAGGAGCGGGAGGAAAGTTTGAGAGCTGTAAAAATAAAAGGAGTAACAGAAAAGTGCTAAAAAAGTGATGCAAGCTTGAAAGTAAGAGAGGAGAAGGAGAAGAGTTTGAGAGAGGTGTAAAAACAAAAAAGGAGTAAAAGAAAAGTGTTATAGGAGAGGGGGAAGCTGATAATGAAGTGATCGAGTAAGTAGGAGAGCTTAAGAGAAGTGCCCCCATTCAACAAGTGCAGCATGTCTCTTCATTGAATAGTATGAGGATTGATGATAATTTGATGGAGATTTCAATATGGTATGTATAAGTTTTCAATGGTAAAATGTGTTGGTCAGGAACGGAACCCTTGTTTATTACATTGTGTCTATGGGAAATTAGTTCTCACTTTATGAACTCTCACTTTATGAACTAGGCTTCGGAACCAATTATATATATATATATATATATATATATATATATATATTTTATTAGTCAATAAAATACTGTAAAATACTTTATTGATTCATTTTTTACATGAATTTATAACAATAGGTTTATTTAAATAAAAGTGAACAGGTCACATTATATTGGTCACATTATATTGTTTCATTCATCCTTTTGACCTTGTTCTCTTACATATTAAAATATATTTTTATTTTGTATCAGTTATGTTGTGAAACTTTCTGCGCTCCTGCTAGTGTGCAGTCTTCACTTGAGAAAGCCCCCCAGTTGGCGAAATACGTTGTGTTGTTTTAACTTTTGTTTTTAAAGCATTAAAGTATATTTGGCATTCACTACTAGTTGTGTTTGTCCATTTATTATGTTTTTCAGCTGCTTCTACTTCTTCTGTTCCTGTCATTAGAAACCATACTGAATAAAGAAACTTTGGATACTACTCCTTAGAGAATCTACTTAACATCATATCCCTGGAGGCGATTATACCATCCAAGCGCTACCATTTGAGCAGGATCTACTGCTCTACCACATGTGAGTAGAATATTATTACTTTTACAACCTTCATTATATTGATTACAGTGAGCACTATTGTTTGCCATTTTTATCTTTAATATATCAAACCACTCATTGAGGGATCAGCCCCCAGATCTACATATCCATCAGTGGGTATTGTACCACTGCATGCTGGTAAACTCAGAGCTGGTCTTATAGCTCTCTCAAATGTGAGTGAGATACAATATACATTATTGTTGCATGTCCTGCACCTAGTTTCATACGCTCTGCACCATCACTGGTTATCTACTGTTTTAATTTCATATTCTCCCACCATTTGAGGTCTGGACGGTTTCTAGTTGAGAACAGACTCCAGCAATTGTGGACTAATTGGACTTTATATTGGTGCAACCTATATTTTGTATATAGTGTGCAGTTTCCCCTAGATCACTTGTTGTATAATCATGAAACATATGTATAACTAGGGGCATACATTCTTGGGATGAAAATATAATTTTGCCCAGTCTGCTCAAAGTATTCAGAGTGGGTAGTAAAATCCACATCAAGGATCAAATGTTCAACAGCCAGTAACTAGATTCTTCTTACACAGTGCCAGGAACAGAGAGTATATAAAATAAAATAAAAACGAAAGACCGTAAAAACAAATAAAAAGTAAATGTCCCAAATACAATAGTGGTATTAGCCAAAAATGCTCTATTTGGTAGCAATGAAAATAAATGAAATAATCAATTATAATTTAAAAAAAACACAAAAACAGTTTTATTCCTTTTAATATTTATAAAAGTATACTTTGGGCATTACAAACCCAATTAGGACTGTACTATAAGTGTCTGTATGAGATAGAGGCAAAATAAAAACAGATTTAGCTAGAGTCAATATAGGTTAATTTTTTCAGATAGGTACATATAGATCGATAGATTATTAAAAAATATAGCCAAAATGTAAATATATATATATAAACACAAACAAACATTGTAACACCAACAAATCTATGAACTGTGGCCTTATGACCATAATGTATTATGTATTTTAAATACATTGTACAATGTATTTTAAATACATTATACACACAACAATCACAATATAACAGCAGAAATAACCATTAAAATAGATTGAAAGCATTTAGCAAAATAATTTGACAAGGTGTATTGGATACAATTATGATGTATTAAGCAGGAGCTTAAATTAAATATTTCAACTGTATGTAGAAATTAAAAGGACTCAACAAAAAAACTGTGCCCAAAAGGAATTGTCTCCAGTAAAATTAATAGTATCCTAATTTTAGTAGAATCAATACAACGATTATCATCAAGAACACAGTGACGTTTACCATTTACACTCCCAAAATATCGCTTAGTACAAGGCCACTGATAATAGTAACCTTTACCTGTACACTGCAAACACTTTCTATCTGTATGTTACAAGAGAGATAAAAGGGGGGTGGCTAAGTTCAAGTAAAAGTATAAATGTCAGAATAATCCCATCCAAGAACACATCTCTAACACCTCTTACTCCAACTCCACCATGAAACTGCTTCTGGTTTGTGCTCTCCTGGGGGTAGCTGGTGAGTCTCTTCCTGGGGCGTAATCTGTATTTGACTATTAAATCCGTATGTCCACCTTGTTATTCTTTATCTAATAATAGGGTGGTGATAAAATATTGGGTCCAGGAATCTCACCACTAAGTTAAACTAATTTGGTGTTTTAGTAAATTTGATTCTTCTGCATTTGTTGTATAGTTTGTGTATTCTTTTTTACTGTTTATTGTAAATGTCATTGGTATACCTACGTGTATATATGAAACAGCAACAATTTATATGGCACTATGTTAAATATTAATTCAGGAGCAAATACCTGGTCAACCGCTGATTCACTTACCATACTCAAATATAAACAATTGTATCTTTTGATACAAAATAAACATATATAGCAAAAGATAGGCTTCTTTATTTTAATCATGATTATTATAAAAAGTGTATTAGCAAAGTGTAACATGATCCTGTATGCTTAATTGAATGATGCGCAAACATTTGTGCAAAATCCCAAAATATATATTTTTAAATAGTACCAGGGACCAGCTAATAGAGTGGCACTTTTCACAGTTTTTTTTACTTAATGTTTTTTTCTGCCACAGCTGCCTTTGATAATGATGATGATAAGATTGTCGGAGGTTACACCTGCACCAAGAACTCCGTCCCATACATTGTATCACTGAACATCGGTTACCATTTTTGCGGAGGTTCCCTGATTACCAGCCAGTGGGTGCTCTCTGCTGCTCATTGCTACAAGCCGTAAGTGAAAAGAAAGAAAAACGTTAAACATAAATCAGTCCTGGTTAATATTTCACAGTAAATTATATATTAAATATAGGACAATGTTCTCAATTAAATATATTTGGATAAACATTTAAAATGATTTCATGGTTTACAGAATCTATTTTAATATTAATATGTAGTTTTTTTTAATAAATTGATATATCTTTTTTATATGATATATTTTTCATATTTTAATATGTTGGGGATAAAAACATTCAAAAATGTGATAAAAAAATGAATGAATAATTTGAAAGGCTTATTCAATAATATTTAAACAAGATCAATGTCTGCATGAAAAATTAAGGTAATAGGTCTTCAATTGGTGTCATAGAAATTATATTAACAAACCTAGTCATGTGTATCTGATTGCATTACTTTTCACTCTTGCAGACACTTTGATGTTAGACTGGGTGAGCACAACATCGCTGTGAGCGAAGGCACTGAGCAGTTCATTAGCTCAGTCAAGGTCATCACACACAGCAACTACAATCGATTTACCTTTGACAGTGACATAATGCTGATCAAGCTTGCCTCACCTGCCACCTTGAATTCCTATGTGAATACTGTGTCTCTGCCCTCTAGCTGTGCTGACGCTGGTACCAGCTGTCTAATTGCTGGATGGGGAAACACACTGAGTGATGGAGGTAAGCCAAAGGTCTTAGTCAAGTTTTTACTTAGATCCTTATTCTATTTGAATGAATAGGTTTCTTTATATTGAAAACCGTGTAACATCGAGACATTGATATATGAATGTACTCTATATGGAGTAAATAGATCCTTAATTGTATGAAGTTTTCCAATTGAATACGGTAATTTTTTTGAAAAGTCTAATGTATTTTTTTTTTAAGTTACTTTAGTGTTTATGTGATCCATTCCACCTCCCAAATACTAAATGTGCAACACTAAGCAAATAAATCAAATAATTCTTACCCCTTTAATAGAAATGGGGAAACCAAATACTCATATACATGTAAAGAGAAAAATAGAAAATAAAATCCAATAGTGCAATATTGTAACACTATAAGTAAGTGGAACATGTATGGGAAAATATGCTCACATGTATAAATATACATAAATAATGTATTTTACCTTATCTGAATAGTTCAAATTGTTCTATAATGTGATCTCATGCAGAAATGATCAAATAAAAACCTGGCTCAACTAACTAATATTTTCATTTTATTAAGTAAATTACCCAGATCTCCTGCAGTGTCTGACTGCCCCGGTCCTGCCTTCCTCCCAGTGCAGTAAAGCCTATCCATGGAGATTCAGCAGTAACATGTTCTGTGCTGGATTCATTGAAGGTGGCAAGGATTCCTGCCAGGTAATGTATCTTACCATTCCTGATCTAGCAGCTCCCACATCCCATAGTTGTGATTTCATCTGATATGAACCCAACATTCAAATCTAGTATTTTGCTAATATTTTTAGTTATGTTATTGAAGTTACCCATAGGAATCATGTAAATATCTCAAATAGTGGCATTTTTTTTAAAAAAAGCTTATGAATCAGTTAACTCTTAAAAAACAGACATTTTCTATGATTTTTTTTTTTTACAGATAGAAACCATTTTCTATTAAAATCGTTTAGGTATTCCAGTTTAAAAGATTTGTGATAAGCCGACACATTGATTTCATTATTTTATATTTTTAGAATTTCAAGACAATTATCACTCTTTGATATTTTATTTTTTATATAATGGATTGATCTTAGTTGGTATAAACTGATTTTTTTTAAATTCTCTATCCTTTCAGGGTGACTCTGGTGGTCCTGTAGTATGTGATGGACAGCTCCATGGTGTGGTATCTTTTGGAAAGGGATGTGCTCAGAGAGACTACCCTGGTGTCTACACAAAAGTCTGCAACTACATTAGCTGGATCGAGAACACAATAACATCATACTGAAACTCTTGTATTGTTCATCATATTCTCTCCTTCACAATAACAATGTCTAAATATTAAATAGATTTAAATAAATTACATTTTATTAAGAAATGTTTTTCATTGTTAATTTGTCATTAGCAAAATATTCATGGCCCCTTTACCTGGGGGAACAATGTTTGTGTTTTATCTCAGACTACATTATTAGACCATTTGCAGAAATGACTTAAAAGGAAACATTTTATTTACATGCCACAAAAATAAAATACCCTATAATCTATCACATGCTGGCACAATTACAAAGCACCCAATATAAACATTTTAAAACAAGATTGTGTTTCATCTCAGAGCAAGGAGGCAAAAAGTGATCTAGGGAAGACTTCACACTAGCAGGAGCGCAGAAAGTTTCACAACATAACTAATGATACAAAATAAAACTATATTTTAAGATGTCAGAGAACACGGTCAAAAGGATGAAAGTAACAATCTAATATGACCTGTTCATTTTTATTTTAAATAAACCTATTCTGATAAATTCATGTAAATAAGAAAAAGCAAAAGTATTTTGCATTATTTTATTAGCTGTTCAAACCTATTAATACCAATGCAAAACATAACAACCAGTGAAATCACTGCCTTTAGAAATTATTATTAGAATGACATTTATATCGTTTCAGTGAAAAACTATAAAACAAATTCCGAAATTATCTATAGGAAACTATTCAACAGAGATGCTGCCTATCATAGAATAGTTTCACTTATTCAGTCTTTTGTGATGAAAAAGGAGATTGTGTATCATTCACTTTAAAGTATGGAAAAGGTAGAAAGTTAGTTGTTGACTGTGGGACTTTTAGGACTTGTATCTTGTCTCTGGTGACGAGAGATAGGCCTTTTGAAATTCTCGGTTTATCGCCAATACACTACCCTTCTTTATTTCATCTTTTATGTTTTCAAATTTTTTTTTTTTTTTTTAATTCGTTTATTTCTTTCTCATAGAAGTTGTATTCACAAGAGCAAGAACTGATAGGCACACAGGCCACATACTGTACAAACAGATCAGTAAAACAGATACTGTGTACATGAGCTCATTCTCTGGATCAACCCATTAACGATAGCTAACCTTCAACTCAAAACCGTCATAAAGTGACAGTCAGTGTGGAAACATGATGCACGCCGAGGGCACCCCAGCAGTAGCATCTACCAGAGTTTTCCTTTACCATACTAGTTAGGTTAATATTAATATTAGGAGGGAGTGTCAATCCTTCCCTGCACTGGAATAAGGTCGACGAGAGAGAGCAGTGTACAAAGAGATGAGATGAGTAGAAAAGAAACAAGAGGGATTCTGGTACCCGGGTGAGCAAGCGCCCCCGCGGCCCCTGCACGTCTCCCGCCTGTACAAACATTATAAATCACGTGCCACATAAACAAACCACAGCTGCCAAGCCTCAGCATGTCTGGAAGCATCCCGAGCAGAGAGGCATGCATCGCCTCAGCTGCCTGTATATCCTCCATGCTTTGTAACCAGGCCTCCTTAGGACCTCCTTGGTCCTCACCATGTCCCAGAAGAGAACTATGACCAGATATTCTCACCATATATGCCACATCGCGCCTCTATCAGACTAACATCTCCAGCAGGTGGGCGGCACGGTAGGATAGATCCTGTGGAGAAGGGTCGGCAACCTATACCAGAGCGATAGTATTTTATAGTCAATTTCCTGGTACTGTGAGCTTATAGAGCTCTTGTGTTGTCACAACAGCACCCTGTCCCACTATGTAGTGGAAAAAGATTTGCCGATTAGTTCTTCCCATTGCCTTTGGAACTTGTTGTTCACAAGGCTGTTTCCCACCAGGAGGTATTGATAAAGCATCAAAACTGCCTTCTCAAGCACCGAACCTCGCAAGCAGAGCTCCTCAAACCACGTGAGGCTCCTGTGCAATTTATCCCTCTGTGGTAGTGTATGATTATAGTTCTGTATTTGAATGTACCGGAGAGTGATCAAAGAGGTTCGCAGCTTCCCATCCAGTAACACATCCAGCGCACGGAGTTGACCATCCTGTAACGCCTGGTGAATAAGGATACAGTCATCTTCCCCGAAGAACTGCCAGGCCGAAGGTGATAACCCCGGCCAACTTTAACGTTATCAGTCACTGGTAAGAGGGGGCTAGGTGTAGGTGAGACATGGGACAGTTCGCGGACGCGTTTGCAAAACTGGCACCATCTTATCCCTGTGCTCCATGCCCTCAGATCCCCCCATCCATACAGTCGATGACAAGGGAGTTCTCATTCCACCCCTGTCCACTATTACCCATTGTTTTTGCAGTGATAGCAGATGACAATCCAATATCCGTTGTAAAACAGTGGCCTGATGATATCTTTTAAAGTCAGGTAGTGCCAAACCTCCCCTATGTCTCGGTAAACAAAGCAAATCATGGCACAGACGGGAACGTTCCCCCCGCCAGACATATCCAACCATCGCTGACTTTAAGGAGGAGAAGAAAGTAGCCTGCGGGGTGAGTGGGACTGTCTGGAAGAGTTATAACACCCACGGGAGCATGTTCATTTTAACTACTGCCACTCTACAATGCCAGGGCACATGGGGGTACGACCATTTCCGCAAATTCGCTAATATCATCTTCAATAGGGGAAGGAAATTGCATTGATATAAATCTCGCGGATCTGCGGTAATCCTGACTTCTAAATATTTAATTTTACCATAGCACCAGTGGAACAGAAATACCATATCTAATGCTGCATAATCGCTTGCTGGCAACATGACGTTCAGTACTTCGCAGATTGAGTTTAAATCCAAATAACATGCCAAACCTCCTGAATTCTGACAATAGACAGGGAAACATGATCCTTGTATTCGACACAAAGAAGAGGAGGTCAACATAAATGGAAATGGAAGTGCACTCAACCTTCGTTATGGAATCCAGGGTGCTCCATGGAAAGTCCCAGTACCCAGAAAGGACCAAAGATAAGTAAATATAGAAAATGATCCAGGCACTCCAACAGGTTCCAAAATTAAGGCAATTTATTTTAACCAGGAACTACACAGCGAAGAAGAGGAGGCCATCTGCATAAGCAACGACCTTATATTCCACCCCTGCAGTGCATATCCCCCAATATCCGTATTTTGGCGGAGTGCCTGAAGCAGAGGTTCGAAGGACATAACAAAAAGTATCGGAGAGAGCGGGCAACCCTGGCACATCCCATTGCGATTGTTAAAGCCAGCAGTCAATGCTCCATTCACTCTCACCGAAGCACGTGGTTTGCTGTATAGTGCAGCTATCCAAGTGAGCAATCCCATGCACTTCAGCGTAGCCATCATATATGGCCAGTGAACGCGATCAAAGGCCTTTTCGGCATCCATTGACAGCAAGAGCATGCGTTGGTTCATCTTTCTCGCAAGATGTTGTATAGCAAAACATTGCAAGGTGCTATCCCGTGCCTCACACTCAGGAATAAAACCAGTCTAGTCCGCGTGGATCAGGTGCGGCAGAACCAACTGCAGCCTAGTTGCCAGAACCTTATTTTTTTCCTTTTTCTATCTTCTTCTCTCTACTTCTGTTTTTAAATTGGACGTTTCATTTTACAATGAGTATTTTACAAAAGTTTTAAAAGTGTTCTCTATTGGAGAAAAAGAGTCTTAAAGGACTCCCCAGATCATGGCACTTTCCCTTCCCTCAACCAATGATGAGAAAAAAAACATAAGGCAGTGGATTTTGTTTTTGGACTTGATAAGTGAACTTGGCACCCAATATTTGATGTGAACTTTTAAAACATGAGTAAATAAATTCTAGTATCCTAGATCTTCTTATATGGATTTGATTCATTCAAGAAGCTTCTTTTAATGGTATATAGGAGTATAGAATGCTGAAGTTATATAGATATATATTTTTTATTTCCACATGTACTTTTCTCATTTTATGCACCTTGTCTGTATAGCTGAAATACTCACAAGGGGATGCTTGGGACATCCATAGGAATCATCTTTTGCATTTTGGGTCCTTTATAGGACTTCTTCACAAATTATTAAACATTACTATATAATATTGTACTCAAACATGATTTTTTTATATATATATGAGAAAAAGACATTTAGGACATGTAATTAGGTATTTGGAGAGTTTACCGTGTAAAATTACATTCACTGTGTGGAGAAAAAGTCTCCACTTAGTTAATTAGCTTATTTTAACTATTATCTCAAAAACCCATATGGCTTCACTTCTGATTATATCAGGAAGTGAGCAACAACTGAATATTTATTACTTTTTTTATTAGCGTGAAATTAAAATACAAAATCATTTCTAACATATTTTATTACAAAAGGACAAATCTTCAAGAGACCAATCTTACTTTGACCCCCTCACTGGATCAATATTTCCTCAAATAAAATCTTTATCCCAAACATCTTCAATATATTTGAAATTTCATAAAGTAAAAATACCAGTTTGTTAGTTATTAAAATAGAGTTTATTTGAACTTTTATTTTAAATAATGAAAAAATAAAAAGGCAATTATTGATAAGTTTTAGTTTGAAGCGATAGTGTTCTGTATCCAGTCGATGTAGTTGCAAACCTTGGTGTAGACTCCAGGATAATTCCTCAGAGCACAGCCATATCCCCAGGAGACCACACCCTGGAGCTGACCATTGCAGATCACGGGACCCCCAGAGTCACCCTGGAGGAACATGACAGAGACAGTTAGATGTGGGTATATTAATCACGAATAATCTACGTGTATAAAAATATCTCAATACATGCACGTATACTGACTACTATATATACATGTTAAATATTTAGAGTCATGGCTGGAAATATTACCTGACAAGCATCTTTGCCACCTTCAATGAAACCAGCACAGAACATGTTACCAGTGATTTTCCCGGGGTAGGAAATGCTGCACTCTCTTGTTGTCAGAATGGGGGCATCGAGACACTGCAGGAGATCTGGGTAATTCGCTAAAACAAAACAAGTTTTAGTTCATTCTAATTATTGTCATACAAGCCAGACTGAAAACTTAATCAATTCTTAGCCATTGGTCAAAATACAGTGTGGCTCTATGAGTTAAATGACTGGAGAGCTGCATATGCTTCATTAAATAGAGATTGTCTGGATTGGCTGATGAGATAAGAAAATGTCCTATATCTGTCTCAATAATGAGTGCACTACGAGAGAAAAAAAAAACAGTCTGTGTATCCATTAGCAGTTTTTAGGGATCAGACTAGCTTGACCAGTTGGTTATTCTCTGTAGTTAATGAAAAGTGTATCTAATTTATTGTATTATCAATAGTTCTGAATAAATCTCAAACATATATAATTATATATTACTACCCAATACTAATGTCCCAATATACAGCAATTAATCATCATAGGAAACATTTTTATTCTTATTATTATTTTATACTGCACGTCCATTTTTTCCTGTTATCACTCACTTCCACTGCTGAGCGTGTTTCCCCAGCCAGCTATCAAGCAGCGAGTGCCGGCAGAGGCACAGCTGGAAGGCAGAGGCACAGTCGTGACGTAAGAGTTAAGGGTAGCTGGGGAGGCAAGTTTGATCAGCATAATATCATTATCTGGGCTCCTGGAGTTGTAGTTGGGATGTTTGATGACCTTTGCAGAGTTAATGAACTGCTCAGTGCCCTCACTCACAGCGATGTTGTGCTCTCCCAGTCTGACCTGAAAGCTCCTGTCAGAGGGAATGGAGGTTAATTACATACATGTTAACAAAACCTTTCTACAACATTTTAATATTTTAACCATCCCATCCAGTCTTTAAGATAAAATAGGAAACTCTTCTCCAGACAGATGTCAAATTGTGTTTCCCTCTAGTGATAAAACATACTTACACTCTGTAGCAATGCGCAGCAGAGAGCACCCACTGGCTGGTAATCAGAGAACCTCCACAATCATGGTAACCGATGTTCAGTGATACAATGTATGGGACGGAGTTCTTGGTGCAGGTGTAACCTCCTACAATCTTATCATCATCATCCCCAAATGCAGCTGTGGGCAGTGGGAATGTGAATTAGGCACAATACAGTATATAGTATCTTTCTTTATAAAATATTCAAACATTTGGGGAAAAAAACAAAGATTTAGTGATACAAATTTTAGAACCTAATAATGCTGTATCAGGTAAAGGTTTGACACAATGTCCAATAAATAGAATAAGTCCTAATGAGCAAATATATTGGTTATTATACAGGAAAGCATGGAAATAAAAGGATCCTTAGATCCTTTGAATATTATCTTACATTAAGTAAAAATATTTTTTGCTTGTGGCCTGAGAGATATGAATAACAAATATGGTGGCCTAATGGAAACTTGATTTATGATTACAAAAACAAAAAAAATCAAACCATGCTAATTACATAGTAATCAGCAGTAAGACACTTACCAACTGCCCCCAGCAGAGCATAGATCAGAATCAGCTTCATGGTGGAGATTGAAAAGCAAGGGAGATGTGTTTTTTGAGGGAAGAATATTCTGCCTTTTATATTTTAACCTGAACTAGCCCTTCCCCTTTACCCTGATTACAACACGCAGACGGAGAGTGTTTAATGTGTACAGGTAAAGGTTACTATTATCAGTGGCCTTGTATTGAGTGATATTTTTGGAGAGGAAATTACAAACGTCACCATGTTCCCAATAATAACTGTGTTATCAATTCTACTGAAATCAGCTTACAACTATGTTTACTAAATATATTTTCTTTTCAACACCTTGTTTAAAGGACCACTATAGTGCCAGGAAAACATACTCGTTTTCCTGGCACTATAGTACCCTGAGGGTGCCCCCACCCTCAGGGTCCCCCTCCCACCCGGCTCTGGAAAGGGGAAAGGGGTTAAAACGTACCTTTTTCCAGCGCTGAGCGGAGAGCTCTCCTCCTTCTCTCCTCCTCCGTTCCGCCCGTCGGCTGAATGCGCACGCGCGGCAAGAGCTGCGCGCGCATTCAGCCGGTCGCATAGGAAAGCATTTACAATGCTTTCCTATGGACGCTGGCGTGCTCTCACTGTGAAAATCACAGTGAGAAGCACGCAAGCGCCTCTAGTGGCTGTCAATGAGACAGCCACTAGAGGATTAGGGGGAAGGCTTAACCCATTAATAAACATAGCAGTTTCTCTGAAACTGCTATGTTTATTTAAAAATGGGTTAACCCTAGCTGGACCTGGCACCCAGACCACGTCATTAAGCTGAAGTGGTCTGGGTGCCTAGAGTGGTCCTTTAAGCAAGATTGCTTTTTTGTGTAATCTTTGTGGCTTTAATACCTGCAGTTTGCTGAACATATTTTTTTAGAATTAAAGAAGAAGAGGAAACATTCTCAGAGTTATTTACTGAAGTGAGAATTCAAAGTGCATTTAAAATTATAGAAAAAAGTAGCCAAATGCAGCAACACTCTCCAAAAGAAGAGAGAAGAGCAAACAATAGTGTATTATTGTAAAATATTACACTGAGGGATCTAATAAGTAAAACTTAAGCTCAATGAATTAAGCAAATGATGGTATAATCCACATCACATGGATATCGATTGGTCACAGATTCTTCAGCCGTGACAATATACATAGGAATAATAAAAGAAACACAATATAGTGCTCTCTGTCCAGATAAAAATATACCAAATAATGAAATCATTACACTCACAATGAAATCACATTATCACTCACAAATGGTTGAGCAGCCAACTCTGCTCAAAGACCAACCAAGGACCAAATGTTCAGCAGCCAGTAACTAGATTGTTCTTACACAGTACCAGGAATAGGATCAGAAAGCAAATAAAATAATATACAAACTTAAGACAGTAAAAACAAATAAAAAGTATACGTCCAAATACAACAGGGGTATTTCCCAAAAATACTTTATTTAGTAGCAATCAAACCAAATTAAATAATCCATTATTATTTAAAAAAACAAAACACAAAAACAGTTTTAATCATGTTTATATTTATAAAGCTATAATTTTGACATTATAAATCCCATTAAGGGTTTGCTATAAGTGTATGTATGAGATTGAGGCAAAATAAGAACAGATTTAGCTGGAATCAATATAGTTTACTTTTGCCAGATAAGTGCATAAAGATCGATAGATTGTTCAGAAATATAACCAAAACTTAAAAAAGAAATGTATATAACAACACCAACAAACATCTTAACACCAACAAATCTGTGAACTGTGGTCTTACGATATTTGGTATTTTTTGCTAAATACATTATATACACAACAAGCACAGGATGACAGCAGAAATAATCATTAAAATAGATTGAAAGCATTTAGCAAAATAATTTGACAAGAGGTATTGGATACAAATATGATGTACTATACAAGTTTAACAAAATATTTCAACTGTATGTAGAAAATACAGTGACTCAACTAAAAACCTTTGCCCAAAAGGAAATGTCTACAGTAAAATTAATAGTATCCTAATTTTAGTAGAATCAATACAATGATTATCATCAAGAACACAGTGACGTTTACCATTTACACTCCCAAAATATTGCTTTGTACAAGGCCACTGATAATAGTAACCTTTACCAGTACACTGCGAACACTTTCCATCTGTGTGTTGCAAGAGAGATAAAAGGGGGAAGGCTTAGTTTAAGTAAAAGTATAAATGGCAGAATAATCCCATCCAAGAACATATCTCTAACACCTTTGAGTCCTTCTAAACCATGAAACTCCTTCTTATCTGTGCTCTCCTGGGAGTAGCTGGTGAGTATCTTCTTGTGGCTTAATCTGGGAATTTAAGTAGTAATTCAGTAGGTCCACCTTGTTATACTTTATCTAATAAAATAATGGTAATTAAATGATATTGGGTCCAGTAATCCCACTACTTCCTAGAGTGTCACATTTCACACTTTTTTTACTTAATGTTCTTTCTGCCACAGCTGCATTTGATGATGATAAGATTGTCGGAGGTTACATCTGCACCAAGAACTCCGTCCCATACATTGTATCACTGAACGTCGGTTACCATTATTGCGGAGGTTCTCTGATCACCAGCCAATGGGTGCTCTCTGCTGCTCATTGCTACAGCTCGTAAGTGTACTTTAACCACTCCAAATATCAATAAGAGTCTTTGAAAAGCATAAAATTGTAAATATATATCAGTCCTGGTTAATTTTGCAAAGTAAATTATAAATTAAGTATAGGACAATGTCCTCAAAGTAATATTTTTGGATAAACATTTAAAATGTAATTTAATGTTTTTAAAAAATATTTTATATATTTGATACGTTGATATATATATATTTTAATGTTTAAAAAAAAAATTAAAACCTTATCGAAAATGACTAATTAATTTTAAAAGCATTGTCAAAAATATTTAAACAAGGCCAATGTCTGCATGGGGAAAAATACAGGTAGCAGGTCTTCATGTGGTGTCATAGAATTATTAAAAACCCTACTCAGGTGTATCTGATTGCCTTACTTTTCACTCTTGCAGACACTTTGATGTTAGACTGGGTGAGCACAACATCGCTGTGAGAGAGGGCACTGAGCAGTTCATCAGCTCAGTCAAGGTCATCACACACAGCAACTACAATCGATTTACCTTTGACAATGACATCATGTTGATCAAGCTTGCCTCACCTGCCACCTTGAATTCATATGTGAATACTGTGTCTCTTCCCTCTGGCTGTCCTGCCGCAGGTACTAGGTGTCTGATTGCTGGATGGGGAAATACACTGAGTGATGGAGGTAATTAAAAGGTCTTAGATCCTTATACTATGTGAATGACTATATTTCTTTATATTGACTTTAACCATATAGCATTCAGACATTGATATGTTAATGTACTCTAGCTGGTTTAAATAGATCCAACAATAGGGTAATTTGAAAAATGTCATACAATTAGTTTTCCAAAATACCATTTTTAATTGGAACTTTTCTTATAAGGTAATTTGTGTCATACCTTGTAAGAAAAGTTACATTTTTCCATATTGTTGTCTCATGAGAAATGACCAAACACATTCCTGATTTACCAACTAAGGCTTTTATTTTATTTAGAAATTTACCCAGATCTCCTGCAGTGTCTGAATGCCCCGATCCTGCCTTCCTCCCAGTGCAGTAAAGCCTACCCTTGGAGATTCAGCAGTAACATGTTCTGTGCTGGATTCATTGAAGGTGGCAAGGATTCCTGCCAGGTAATGTATCTTACCCGTCCTGACCTAGCAGCTGTCACCTGACACCACCCTCTATTAAAATGGTTTAGGTATTCCAGTTTAAAAGATATCTGACAAGCCGACACATTGATTTCATTATTTTATATTTTATCATTTCAAGACAATAATCACTATTTGTTACTTTATTTTCTAATGATGGCCTGATCTTGATGGAATTCAAAACAAGCATTTTAATAATACTCGAGTTGTGTTTTTGTATTTACCTGTGGGAACCAAACCCAGGATCTCCATGTAATTACCTCACGTAGTTATCACTAAATGATTATCTGATCTTGATGTAATCATCAAAGTTGATGTAATCTGATTTTTTTTAAATTCTCTCTCCTATCAGGGTGACTCTGGTGGTCCTGTATTATGTGATGGACAGCTCCATGGTGTGGTCTCTTTTGGAAAGGGATGTGCTCAGAGAGACTACCCTGGTGTCTACACAAAAGTCTGCAACTACATTAGCTGGATCGAGAACACAATAACATCATACTGAAACTCTTCAAAAATCGCTGCATCTTTTGTCTCCATTACAATATAACATGTATCGTTCATCACGTTCTCGTCTTCACTATAACTATGTGTAAATATTAAATAGATTTCATTAAATTACATTTATTAAGAAAACTGTTTTATTGCTTCGAATTAGTTTCTTTGTCATTAACTTAATATTCATGATTGCTTAACCTGGGTGAACAATGTTTGTGTTTTATCAACTATCTGCCAAGATTCTGTGCTCTGTGGTCACTTGGAAATGATTGTATTTGAGTTATGGTGGTAAATTTCTGACTACATTATTAGACCATTTACAGAAATAACCGAAAAAGAAACATTTTATTTACATGCCACAAAAATAAAATACTATATATTCTATCACATGCTGGCACAATTACAAAGCACCCAACATAAACATTTTGAAACAAGATTGCGTTTCATCTCAGAGCAAGGTGGGAAATCAAATATTTCATGATTATGCAAGAAGTGATCTAGGGAAGACTTCACACTAGCAGGAGCGCAGAAAGTTTCACAACATAACTAATGATACAAAATAAAACTATATTTTAAGATGCCAGAGAACAAGGTCAAAAGGATTAATGAAACGATCTAATGAGACCTGTTCATTTTTATTTAAATAAACCTATTCTGATAAATTCATGTAAATAGGTATTATTGCAGTATTTTATTAGCTGATTAAACCTATTAATACTAATGCAAAACATGACAACAAGTGCAATTTTATTAGTAACTACAAAAATTATTTTAAATTACACTTTGTCGTTATTTCAATGCCTCTGGAAAGTATTATTAAAATGACATTTCTACAATTTGAGGGACAAATTCTAAAGCTTATGTTAGATTTACCTCTAGAAAACCATTCAATATATATGTTGCCTATTATAGAACACCTTCCCTTGTATTATAAGTTCAGTGGTCTTCAATCAGAGATTTTGTATACTTTTTAATTGTTTGGTGACTCTGGGACTTTCATTTGTTGTGTTTTTTTTTATCTGGTGATGTGGCTGATGCTACTATAAGGCTGCACACAATTATCAAAGGCTGGGGTGGTCAAATATCAATTGTGATCTCCCAGTCAATCCCAGTCAGAGCTCTGATATACAGGTGTCATCAATCTACACACAATGCACCAATGCTATTCTGAAGTCTGTTGGTGTTCTCTCTTTATATATATATAGTCAATACATAGTCAAAAACAGATCTCCACACCAGCCACTTGCTTTTCCCACAGAAATCTCAAATTTGCAGTGATGTTACTACTGCAAAGGAGTTCAACAAAGAATCACATTTTGCCTCATTATTCCATTTTAAACATGGGTTTCTTTGAGTCTGTGTTTGCTGTATAAAACAGCTTTGAAACACAACTCAGGAAGAGATGCAATGCTAGTAGGCCACTCAAGGACAGCTGTTTCATTGTTAATGCAACTCATCAACATGAGGTTGGTTACTGGCTTGCTATTGAGGCTTGGTAGTGCTTGGGAAGCAAAAATCAAAAAGGTTATGGTGAGGAAAAATAGTGATTGTAAACCCCTTCCACCTGAAGTCAGTACACAGTTAATACATTGTTAAACACAGATCTGCACACCAGTCAAGCCATAAGACTTGCTTTTCCCACATAAATCCCAAATTATGAGTGATGCTACTACTGCAAGGGATTCTGGGTGGGCATATGCAAATTAGTTCAACAACAAAACACACATTTTGCCTCATTATTCCATTTTAAACATGAATTCCTTGGATTTGTTGAACAATATATTGAAATAATTGGATATTATAGTATAGTCTCTTATTTTATTCCATTATTTCTGCTTTTAAATAACACTACCTTTATTTCTATCTTCTTCTCTCTTCTTTTATCATCAAATTGCACAGTTCCTTTCAATGTGAGTATGTTACAAATGTTTTCATTTTTGTGTATTAGAAAAAAAAAAGATCCCCCATATTATGGCACTTTCCCCTCCTTCAGCCATAGCCAGGTAGTGGGTGTAAAAACTGAAATGTAACTAGTGGGGCTTTGTTACCATTTGGAGTTTTTATATCTATCTTTCTTACTTTTTTGCCATAGATCTCCTTATTCATTATATTTTCACTTTTTATATTTTGAATCCTGAGTAATTTGAGGAAGAAGGAAGTCAAATATATAAATTCAGTTTTTGTTATTTTGAGTTAGTGTATTAATAGCTATCATGGAAAAGTTGTCTGAAGAAACATTATCGGTTTACCAACTTAAAGAGACACTATAGTCAATAGAACAACTTCAGCTTAATGAGGTTGTTCAGGTGAGAACTATAGCTCCCTGCAACCTTTCTCATGTAAACACTGTATTTTCTGCAGACTGAACTTTTCTCATAGAGATTAATTGATCCAATTAATCTCTATGAGGAGCTGTGTTTGAATCATGCTGGCTCTGCCCCTGATCTGCCTCCTTGTCAGTCTCAGCCAATCCTATGGGGAAGCACTGTGATTGGATCAGGCTACCACATGTCAGCAGACTGCTTGTTTTTCTGAGTCTAACAGCATGCAGATTTACAGCTTCAGACTTGAATACAGTAAGACTTACTTTTTACCGATCACAATCCAGAAGGCAGAGGAAGCTGAGAAATTATATCAGAAATGCAGGAGAAGCCAAGATTATGTGGTCATGCTATTTGGAATTTATCCAAATGGGCTTTGGAATCAGTGGGAGAAAGAGATTCTACTATTTAAACACAGACAGTAATCAAGCTTTTAGATAGAGAGATTTCTATTTATAACATAGGGCAGAGTAAGTGGACCTGACCCCTGTCATGGTTCTCGCCGTGACATCCAGACTGCCAGATGAGGTCGCCCCAGAAGTGCCCAACAAGGGATTTGAACCTGGGTGCTTTATGGTTCTCAGCCTGTATTCCTGCCTCTGAGCCACTTCAGTTATTGGCTTGGATTGAAACTTATCCTTGCCATGTCTCCAGCACTGGGGGCTGGACAAACCTCTGACTGCTCCTGTCAATCATGGTCCAGCTGTATAGTATGTCTAATCAGCCAGGTATAAAACACTGCCTCTCTCTGAGGGAAGTGTCAGTTCATTGACTCTGGTTCCTGTATTGGTGTTTGTGTTCCAGTGTTCTCCAGTTGGCTCCTGTATCCTGACTTCTGGCATCCTCTGACTTCGGCTTACCCTAGTTTATCCTGACTTCTGGCACCCTCTGACCTTTGGCTTACCCATGACAATTCTCCTGCTTATGTCTGTACCTGTACTGCGCCTTGGAGCATTATCCTGCCCAGCCCCTGTGCAAAGACTCACAGGCCAGGTGAGTTCTTACCTGACCACCTTGGCCTGTGTTTAATTGCAAGGGTGAGCACATATCTCTGCATACCGGACTCCCACTAAGGTAGCCGTGACAGAATGAACTGACCATTATGGAATCCGCAGAGATGTGCACACTATTTTCCCAGCAAGTGTCCAGCCTGGCTCAGACTGTTTCAGAGCTGCAGCAAGAAGTTCTATTTCTTAAAGGCACGGTATGCCCAGCCCCAGAACCTGCTTATCCAGAGCCGTTTGTTGTGATGCCTGATAGATTTGATGGTTTCCGTTCCTCATTTACAACATTCAGGATGGATTGTGAGCTCCTGTTTGTCCTTAAGCCCAAGACCTATTACAGCGACTTTGTCAAGGTCCATTCTGCTATTAATTTACTTTCTGGACGGATTAAGGAGTGGGCATTCCAGAAGCTGCAGGAGAAAAGCACTGTCTTGGACAGCTGGGAGTCGTTCATGTCTGCGATGGACTCTCAGTGCATTGCCTCCAGGAAAGCAACTCCCAAGCCTGCTCCAGGTACCGGCAGATCTCGGTTACCTAGAGAAAGTCTTTATACACAAAAACAAAGACCCCATCCTGTTACAGCGTGAACCCACCTTCATGGACCTGCCTTGTCACCCTGATTGTACTCAAGCAAGCTGTGAAATGCCAGTGGACAGGGAGGAACCCATGGAGATCGGATTTACCCGAACTAGGTTGTTGTCTAAGAAGAGAGAGTGTAGGAGAGGGTGTGGATTTTGTTTCTACTGTGGAGAAAGAGGGCACTTTATCTCCCTCTGCCCTACTCACCCACTTCTGCCTAAAACTGTTCAAGTAGGTACTGTCTTTACCCGTCCTGTCATCCCGGCAACACAGCCTGGAATCTGCTATGGCTGCTGTCTAGCCTGTTGTCGTTCCATGACACAAAAGGGAACCCAGACCACGGTAATCAACACAACCAGTACCCCTGAGAAAGTCCCTCCTCCAGCTCCAGGAACATCTATACCTTTACCCAAAGAAACACCTGTTCAAGCACCATCCCTACTTCCTGCCTTGCCAAAGAAGTTCTTTCTCCTGACTGCACATCTGCTTCTAATGGCACTGTTGTATGTAAACAGCCAGGTATAAAAAAACTGCCTCTCTCTGAGGGCAGTGTCAGTTCATTGACTCTGGTTCCTGTATTGGTGTTTCTGTTCAGGTGTTCTCCATTTGGCTCCTGACCTTGGCTTGTTATTCATGTATCCTGACTTCTGGCATCCTCTGACTTCGGCTTATCCTCGTTTATCCTGACTTCTTGCACCTTCGGACCTTTGGCTCACCCACGACGATTCTCCTGCTTATGTTCGTACCTGTACTGTGCCTTGGATCATTATCCTGGACAGCCCCTGTGCACAGACTCACAGGCCAGGTGAGTTCTTACCTGTCCACCTTGACCTGTGTTTAATTGCAAGGGAGAGCACATATCTCTGCATACCGGATTCCCACTAAGGTAGCCGTGACGAGCCCACAGAGTTTGATGTGACTATTTAACTTTTTAAAACATAAACTGATCTTTTTTTGCGTCATACAAGACAGTCTGCACTATGCTGTTCCTCATGTATATGAAAAAAAGAACTGAAGAAAATGAAAGAAAATCTCAGAATCCCGCAACTTTGCATTAAAATAAAAGGACATTAAACTAGACTTTTTTTCTTTACATATGTCCTTTTCTTTGTTTAACCCCTTGAGGACACATGACATGTGTGACATGTCATGATTCCCTTTTATTCCAGAAGTTTGGTCCTTAAGGGGTTAATCCCACATGTCTGTGCACCCTAAATACTTACAAGGAGACACTAAGGACAACCTTCTTATACATTTTGTGACCTTTACAGAACTTCTTCATAGACCAGCAGACACTACTATATAATTATGTTGTGATCAGGTTCTCAAATATGATTTTGGAATATATCAATGTAATTTCTGCTTTGTACTATGAGATTTGGTATTATTAGACAATTACATGATTTTGCTATTTCATGACGAAAAGTCATGATTTCATGAAAGACACGGAGGCGAGTATTGCTTAACCCTTTCTTTACTGTCCACCAATAGCAGCAAAGAATACAACAGTAAGAAAAAATGGTAACCATAGTGATAGGCCACACCCATACCAAGTCCCAGTATAATAGCACATCCCCACACATTTCCCCTTTCTTTGGAGATTCTACACAATAACCACAAAACAGGAACAATGAAACAGTCCAAACCAAATAGAACAGGTGACCCGAAATCCAGCCGGACTCCGATCAGGAACCATAACAAAACTAGGACCGATCCATCAGGATTCCAACCTGTGAGGGGCCCATCACAGCATTGTCCATAAACTTCCTAGCCACTTGGTGAAGCTGAGAGAGAAGTGCTGAAGACCCTTGATCTACATCGAATCAACCTGTGAAAACACAAAAGACAGGAGCCGAACGGTTAAATCAGTACTTGAGTACTTGAGATGTTAAACGTCACCCCATCCAGAGTGAAAGACTTTGCATCATAGTCCAGGGCACGAACATCCGATACCCGTTTGCATGAAATGAGACAAAACAGGGAGACCAACTTGTCCGACAGCTGTCACAGGGAGAACTCCGCATTAGGCGGCCAGGAGGAGAACAGCGACAAAATGCAGGAAACTACCATGTAGTTGAGTAACGAGGTCTAGGGGGGCACCACAGGCGTGAGCCCCGAAGTAAGTGGCACACTAACAGATGTTGGCCTGCTGGGAAGACGTCAAATCCTTGGTAAGCCAAGGAGATGGCCGACCTGTACGAATTAATCATGCTATATGCCCGACCCACTTCAAATAACAAAGTCAGGAATAGGAGGATCGCAGTCACAGGTGCTGAAACTGGATCCAAGTTCCAAGCCAGGCATCAGCCAGTCCAAGCTTTCCTAGCGGTCCCATATGCCCGTCAAGTCCCAGGAGCCCATGCATCAGCCAGGAGGTGTCGAGTTGCGTCCGAAACCCCTTGGATTTCCCAGGGACTCCTGAAATCCTCCATGCATGCAGCAGTAATCACCCGTCTGCTAGGAGGGGATGCTGGAGGCCTGATGGGTCCAGGAGGAGGTTTGGTAGAGATGGCAGCAGTTCCAGGAGTTGTGGGAACCAGGATTGGGTCCCCCAGAATGGGGTTAGTAAGATCAGGTCGGCCATTTGGCGGCGAACTTGGAGCAGGACCCGAGGGATCATGGCAAATGGGGGAAAGGCATAGAGGAGTGAGCCATCCAGTCTTGTAGGAAGGAGTCCACTGCCTCCGTGGTTGGATCCGGGCACCAGCTGTAGAACCAGGGCAATTGGGTATTGAGCCTGGACGCGACGAGGTTGATGGCAAAAGGACCCCATATGGACGATATAGCGGAGAATACTCCCACATCCAATTTCCAATCGCTGTTGTCCAACAGCGTGAACTCCAGTCCGTGTGAGTGTTGTGGAGCCCATGAAGGTATTCTGCCTGGACCACCAGGTTCCTGTCCACCACTTGGATTGATGCTGCCAGAAGGCCAATGATCCATGCCAGGTGGCGTAGAGATAGCTGGGTGCGCGTTAGAGCTTGGTGCATTTCCTTGTGGATTGTCCGTATCTTGGACATAGGGAGGCTCACTGACTCCGCTTTGGAATCTACCTAGGAATCTCTCCATGCATTGCGAAGGAGATAGGCAGGATTTTTCCCAGTTGAAGAGAAAACCCAGGTGGGAGAGGAAGTCCATCGTCCATTGAAGATGTTTAGGAAGGACTGAACGATCATGTGCCATGATGAGGATGTCGTCCAAGTAGATGATTAGCCGGACTCCCCAACTGCACAGCCAAGCCATTGTGGGGCGCATCAGTTTTGTGAAGCACCAAGGGGCTGACGACAGTCCCAAGGGGAGGCACGTGAAGCGCCAGGTGTCTTCTTTCCAGAGGAAACGTAACAGGTCCCTGGATGACTCAGCCACTGGGACCGTCAGATAGACATCCTTCAAATCCAACTTTGCCATCCAGTCTCCCTGAAGGAGTAAGTCTCGCAGGAGGTGGATGCCCTCCATTTTGGAGTGACGATATCGCACCAGGGTGTTTAGGGCACGGAGGTTGATAACTGGGCGCATTTGTCCGCCTTTCTTTTCCACTAGGAAAATATTGCTGATCACCCCTGTGGAGGACACCGGGGCTAGCTCTATCGCCCCTTTTGCCTGGAGGGACGTTAGTTCCACGTCTTATAAGGTGCGGTCGGTTGTTGAAAGCAAAATAGGGCAAGGTGGGGGAACATGACACGTAGTGTCGACCAGTTCGATGTGAAACCCCCAAACTGTGGTCAGAACCCAGACATCTGAGGTGATGGCTGACCAGGTGTGGAAAAAATGACAGAGTCTGCCCCCTACACACATATTGGAAGAAACAGGAAGTAGATGTAAGCTTACCGTAAGGGCGTCTGGAACCAGGGTTCCCTCTGAAGCTTCTGGAATGCCATGGTCTTCTATGAGAGGGGAAGAAAGGAGACTGTTGTCTCGTCTCCTGGTAGGGTGTTCTCTGAGTGTAGGATCCTTGTCCCGATCCATTGGCATGGTAATTGGAATGGCCGGACAGACGACCCCTGAATCTACCGGCCCTGGTAGACACCCGTCCCTGAAACACCCTCTTCATGGAGGATTGGGCCTTATCTAGGGCTGTAAATGCACCCACAAAGCGCCCCAGGTCCTTAATTAAGGAGTCCCCAAATAAAAGGCCCTGGGCGTCTTTGCCTGCCTCTGTGAGGGTGAGGTTGGTCAATTTGGGTTCCAGCTTGAACAGAATGGCTTTACGTGTTTCAATGGACAGGGAAGTGTTTACGCTGCCTGCAATGCAGGTAGCCCACTGCACCCAGCCACGGAGTTCCTCCGGGTCAACTTGCCGGTTCTCGGTTCTGGCGATTTCAGGCAGGTCAAACAGTTTGGCCAAAGGGCCAAATATGTTAAGATGTTTATCTTGGCATGATTTTAAGTGCTGCATCTAGACCCTTGCGGGCATTCCAACCCATTTTGGAGAGGAATTGGGTCATCTTTGGGTCCACTACAGGGGTCTCACAGACTTTGCCAGGTACCAATGGTCTTGGGCATTCCGCCCTAAGTTTATAACGCGCCGCCTTACTGAGGGGCGTCGTACCCAGTTTTCAAGGTACCATGCCACATGGTCCGCCGGGAGTCATTCCGCCTACCTCGGATGATGGAGAGCTTTCGGGTCAAACATGGGTTCCCCAGATGGATCCATGAGGGTGCAGCCCACAGTAGCAGGGGAGTCGCTCCTATGGCCACTCACAATCACCACGGAGTGAGCAGGGCCAAAAGGGTCAGATTTCTGCCCACAAACTTCATCATCGGAGTCATCCACAGACTCAGCATCAGCCTCCTCACTAGACCCGATTTCTGAGCCAGAGTTGCTCTCTTTTTGTGCTCTAGCACATTTCCACTGCCGCGCCCGTTCTGCCTGGTGTGGAAAGGCTATCTTGCGTGACATAGGCACGCTGTCATGGGTGGCTATAGTCACACCACTTCTGTTGGTTCTGGAGGCAGGGAGATTTGAGTGACTGGAATTGGCAGTAGCCTTTTTTGGTGCCTCCCCTATAGGGTCAGTAGCCGGGCGTGCTAAGTGTGTCGGCATGGCCGAGCCTTCTGCGGCCAAAGGGCATGCAAGTAAAGCCTGTGAGATGGTCTGGGAGAGGACAGAGGACATAGTGCCCATATCAGCCAAAATGGCATCAGAGACTGAGCGCTGTAGCGCCAGGGACTGGGTCTCATCAGACAGGGGTATAGGGTCCCCAACAGAAGAAGGGGAAGATAGGTTATCCGAAACCTGGGGCATGTCCATCTCCCTAGGGGAGGAGGGGCTGTCAGGCACTTTAGATCTGGGCATAGTAGTGCTGTGAAATATTCCCCAACAAAAGAATAACAACTATATAAACAGAATAAGTGTATGGGATAAAGCTAAAATCAGAGTAGAGGAGACTAGCAGGAGTTAATCACCCCAAACTAGTATAATCTAGGAGGGTATAGTTAGGGAGCTCCCCAGGGTCCAGACTGGCAGATAGGAATAGAACACGCACAAAGTCAGAGAGACAGTAAGTCAGGAAATGCCCACTGACAAACTCGCGAGATTCGCGGCCAAAAATACAGTCAATTCCTCAAGTTAAAGAGCTGAACATTCAGTAAAAAAGAGACTAATTCAATGGGATAAATAGATGAAAGTAATGAATAGGAAACAGGCGAATGCACTGACTGTTCAAATGAAAAGTAGCCAAATGCGGCAAAACAGACGAATGAAGCTAAGTGTTAGAAAAAACAAACGAATGGCATGTGTTCGTGAAGAATTTGCTGAACTGGTTAGAATCAGAAGAAGCAAATGAGCATGGATAACACACAGAATAAAACATAAGGAAGGTCTGGAACCCTGGGCTCAAAGGTAACCAACATAATATATAGTATTAAACAAGCATGTAATAACACACAGAAAAATTCCTTAACAACTGGATAAATTACAGTAAAAAGGAATTATCAACAAAAGGAGCAATAGAAACTCAAATAACAATAAATAAATGATATAAATAACCAGGAATCAATAAGAGAATACTAGGATGTATGAGAGAAAATTTGTCATGTTCCTATCTGTGGTCGGAGCAGCAAAGAAAGAGGAAATGTGTGGGGATGTGCTGACTATTATACTGGGACTTGGTATGGATGTGGCCTATCACTATGGTTACCATTTTTTTTCTTGCTGTTGTTTTCTTTGCTGCTATTGGTGGACAGTAAAGAAAGGGTTAAGCAATACTAGCCTCCGTGTCTTGACATAAAATTTACAATTAATCCTCCGGCACCTGCTGAACGCTGCTAAGGCAGCCATTCCGGAGTATTGGAAACAAACTACCACACCGTCAAAGTCGGAGTGGATACAGCGGGTGGAAGACATACAGAGCATGGAGGCGCTCCATGCCTCCCTAACGGGTAGGGAACTCAAACATGCAGAAATGTAGAGCCCATGGTTTATGTACATTGCTCGATGCCCTCGGGTGTGGGGGGCTTCTGGGCCCGTGGCGGGGGTAGGGACGGGCGCGGGCCCTTCGTAGTGTGGACCACCCCACCTTAACTACCCCCCTCCATTGTTCTCCTTACACCTCAACCATACCCAAACATGCGGGAGGATTCCCGAGGTGGAACATGTGGGACGTGATGGGGGTGCGCACACACTGACACACCATCGAATCCTGAGACACAATACACACACTACAGTCACACAACCAACAAGTAATCACATATGTCAGCAGACTTCAGAAAAGTAGAAGCACACTACCAAAAGTTACCTGTAACGGAACAGCCTTCCTGAACACAAATGTTCCCCAACATACACTGATACATACCCCTTAGATTGCCAAAGACCCGCGCCTTCCAACTAGAGAACAGGGACAAGAGCCGTATGCTATAGAGCTTGGTAAAGCTCATCTGCCCAGGTACGAGGAAAAACCGTGATACAAGTTATAGCTGTACAATCACGGTTGGTAAGGAGGCAGAACGCTACATCCCCTGTCAGATCACAGAAGAGACCGTGGGCGACAGGACAATAGCTGACTTATTCACTGTTGGGAAACCTGAGAGCTACAACTAGCCTAGGAACATAAAGGCACTTAAACACATCACGTTCACTTCTACTGCATGAGTTTTACATATGTGGTTTTCTTCCGTTCATTTTTTCTTTTTTTTTCTCTTGCTCTACTCACTTCTGGGGACCTGCGAGTCCCATATGTACAACTGTCCTTCCTCTTTGTACTTTTGTTTATGAAAACCTTAATAAAAAGAGATTTACAAAAAAAATTTTTTACAATTAACATTACATACTAACTAGCCTCCATTCAGTTAATTAGCAAATTTTAACAATTACTAAATAACCCTTATGTTTCCAGCTCTGATTATTATCAGGGACATCCAGAGGCAATGGGATATTTGTAATAGTATTTTCATGAAATGTAAAAAAATAATAATTCTAACATATATTCTATCAGGGCAATACACTACTGCAAGAGCCAGAGTTTTCTTTGACCCCTCACTGGACCAATATTTCCTCAAATAAAATATTTATCCTTAACCTTGAAATTACATGAAGTGAAAACAGCAGCTTCTTAATTATAAAACTAGAGTTTATTAGAATTTGGTTTCACAGTTTAACAGCGAAGCAAAGATGGAGTTTATTTAGACTTTTATTTTAAATAATGAAAAAATAAAGAAGCAATTCTTGATAAGTTTTAGTTTGAAGCGATGGTGTTCTGGATCCAGTCGATGTAGTTGCAGACCTTGGTGTATACTCCGGGGTAATTCCTCAGAGCACAGCCAATTCCCCAGGAGACCACACCCTGGAGCTGACCATTACAGGTCACGGGGCCACCAGAGTCACCCTGGGGGAAGATGACAGAGATTGTAAGACATTACTGATACATATATTACAGAGAATATAATATGCATATAAAATAAAATAATCAATAACATCCAAAAACGTCTGGTATATGTATATAATAACGCCAAAAAATCTATATGATTGTATTGTGTAAATATATAGACTTATTATATAAATATATCATCCCCTCAATATCATTTTAATCATTACATTTAGTTACAGGATTATGTATACCTATATCTATAAGCTCACAAAGGATGAGCAGCTACTTTTCTCATTGTAGCCATTACCAGAAATATAATATATAATAGCTATATAGCTATATAAATGGGTATCTATTAATTAATATGTATAAGTGCTCAACAATAAGAAACATGATTGGATATATTACCTGGCAGGAATCCTTTCCTCCTTCAATGAAACCAGCACAGAACATGTTACCAGTGATTTTCCCAGGGTAGGACTTGCTGCACTGTGTATCGGTCAGAATTGGGGCATTGAGACACTGCAGGAGATCTGGGTAATTGGCTACAATAAAACAGGATTTGATTAACTGGTAGTATTGTTACATGTGAACTAAATCCTAGATAAAACATTCTTATCTGTTAATGAAACATTGAAAAATACAGTCTGAATTCACTTAAAGCTTATTGGATTGGCTCCATGGATTGGCTGACGATTGGCTGATGAGATTAGAACGTTTCCTGTAACTTTCTTAACAATGAGAGCACTTTGAGGGAACAAATAGCCTGTGGCTCAAATATCTACTGGTAGTAATAAGACTAGAAGGGTAAATTTGTTATTATTTACGGTCTCTAACAGTTCCTGTGCTAGAAGAAACAGAAAACCAATATATATTCATGCTTTGTTATCTTTGGTATGCTTTACCACAATACCAGCATGCAGATCATGTCATATACATTTAAATTCTACCCTTTTGTAATGTCAAAAAAGTAGAAGTTAATTAGTTTGTACCATAATTAAAATTTCTATTATATTCTGGGGCAGACTAATACCCAGTTTTAACATGGAATCTCCCTAGAGAACTGTTCAGTGAGTAAGCACCTCAGTTATTTGAAAACACAATTTTCAATAATAATGTGATAACCACAAAACCCATGTTACCCCACAAAGTATTTATGCATTAGTATGAACTTACTGCCACTACTCAGTGTGTTTCCTCATCCGGCAATCAGACAGCTGGTACCAGCGGGGGCACAGCCAGAGGGCAGAGACACAGTATTCACGTAGAAGTTCAGGATGGCAGGAGAGGCAAGCTTGATCAGCATGATGTCATTGTCTGTCTTGCTGGACTGGTAGCTGGGATGTTTGATGACCTTGACAGAGCTAATAACCTGCTCAGTGCCCTCACTCACAGCGATGTTGTGCTCTCCCAGAATGACCTGAAAGCTCCTGCAAGAGGGAATATAGGAAATCCGATACACATGTGTTGGTATTTGAGATTATTTTTGTGAACTGAGATCTAACCAAGCATTGTGGAATAAGTTATCAATATTTAAATGCCAATAAGAATAATAACAACTACCTGACTATGACATGAGGAACATTTCCTCTGATTTAGTGATAATTTAGTTTTATAAAAATCGCAACCATAATGGGAGATTGTGTGTGTAGGAGCAAGGGATGTAAACATTCTACAGTTTCCCAAACAATCTATTCATTTAGTTCAATGACCAATACAAATCCAATGTTTTGGGGAATTCTATTACATTTGTAGTGACACAATGAAGCCTGAAGAGTGACACATCTGCCATTTGCTTCTCTATCTGTCCATACCCATGTTTTTCTCTTTAGCTTCCCAACCTGTGGATAGGACATAAACCAAGCACACAAAGGAAGACACCAGAGGAATAGAATGTCTAATAGACTTTTATTCTTTTAAACCAGTCATTAAAAAAACAAAAAGCTCTTAAGCAGAAAGATGTCATTGTACATTTCTATCTAGAGGTTAAATACTTACGGTTTGTAGCAATGAGCAGCAGAGAGCACCCATTGGCTGGTAATCAGGGAACCTCCACAATAATGGTAACCGATATTTAGGGATACAATATATGGGAGAGAGTTCTTGGTGCAGACGTAACCTCCAACAATCTTATCATCATCATCCTCAAATGCAGCTGTTGCCAGAAGAAAAAGTAAAAAGGTTAATTTTCAATCGAGGACATCAGCAGTAAGGAGATTTCTGCAATAATTGCACTTTGTTTAGTTATATGTGCTAGTTTAATAGCTAAATTGCCATATTAATCCAGCGAAAAAGACTCACCAACTGCCACCAACAGCACACAAATCAGAAGAAGCTTCATGGTGGGAACTGGATAGATGTCAGAGATGTGTTTTTGGGTCAGAGTATTCCAGCATTTATACATTTCCCTAAACTAACCATTCCCCTTTTATCTCAACTGCAGCACACAGGTGAAAAATGTGTAATGTTTACTATGCACAGGTAATGGATACAATTATCAGTGACCTTGTGCTAAATTATATTTTGGGAGTGGAAATTGGAAACTTCGCCATATCTCCTATGATGAATTTTTTTTTTTTTTTTATTACCGTTTTACTGACATTTACTTACTATTACATTTTTTGGAGATATTTAGGTTCAGACGTTTTTTTAAGTTCTTTTTGTGCACAATAAAATTGTATCTATTACGTGATGTTAATTTATTTTGCCTACTGCAATAAATACATTTCATTGGTTGTTTATTCTTTTTTCACATTCTGGTTGATATACTGTATTATAATATTAATAAGTGCTATATTTTGTAATACCAAAAATCATAGATTACAATAATATTTAGATTTTTTTGTGTGTTTTTTCCTATTGTGTCTATTTGGATAAAACGTAATAAGGAAAGAGAAGAAATTATTCTTGGTCAAAGTTTTTTTCATAATGAATTGTATGCACAACGCTTCCAATGTTTGACAAAGTCTAGTAGAGATCACTAGGTCAGGGTTTGATTTTACTGAGCTGAGTGTGTGTTAACAATGGCGTGTAATGTGTATGTACACTGCTGTGTATGTCTACATGTTCTATGGAGTATAGATATGTAAAGTGTTTAATCTATCAATCATTCAACAAGATAATTGTAACACTGAAGCAGTCAGAGAGTTACAGAACTGATAACTGGAACTTCACAAAATTTACCTTCACAGAATATGGTGAGAAGAAAATCATTGCTCTAAATACAGAATATATTGAATCCCATTTGAAGTGTGATAGAATGCTTGTGGAGCACATGTAAAAGGGTTATCTTGTCAGATACATTAGAACACTGGCACAAAGTCTTAACTCACCCCATAACCTTGAGAACATTATCCTTACAGTGAAGCGATGTGGTCAGGATGTTGTTTGGTGGCTTTTTGTTGGCAGGGATGGGAAAACTGACCAGGACTGAGAGCAAGATGGACAGAGCCAAGTACAGGACAATTCAAGTGGAAAACATGTTCCTGTCTGTTAGATACTGGATTTGTGCGGTAAGTTTCAAATAAAATGTCATTTGTCTAAATTTTGCTGAATCAGCGATAAGTCAAAATTTTATAACTTCAAAAAGCTATACGGATGAATCACAAAACAAAGGAAACAGGAACTGTACGAGCGATATCATTTGTTTTGTAATTTAGAGATCTATCCATGGAACCAAAAAAAGAGATGATTGGTGGGGATTTAATATTTACTTAATATATAGAATGGCAGTATATAAATGCAGATACTTTAAAGCTCCTCTTTTTTCCCTTTATTGATTATTTCTTCTTACCTTCATCTGTGAGACAAATTGCATGAAAATACGCATATGTGTATTCTGTAAAATCTATATATAATATTTATATCTTGCAGTACACTGATTGGCTAATTTTCATGCCCTTTTGGTTCATCCAATTTGCTTTTCCAAAAACAATTTCAGGGAGGAAATTCATGTGAGCCTAAATGCTGCAGAAAAAAAAAAAATTTCACCCAGTTCAATAATTTTCAAGGTAAAACAATTGTATTTTGCCTTGCGCAAATCTGCTAAACACCTGAGACTGTGGTAGAAGTTCAACTTCCATCCTGATAATGACTCTATACACAGACAAAGCTCCAGGAAAGCAGTTTAAAACCAAGAACCTGAATGTCTTAGATTGACCTAGTCAAAGCCCAGAACGGACAACTGACATTCTGGAAAAATTGCTTGAAATTCGCTGTTAACCAGAAGTCCCCATTCAACCTGACAGACCACGAGGAAGACTGGGGACGTTTTGAGCAAAGCAACACAGAGCCAAGGAACACGATCAGTGAGGTATTCTCTATCATTTGAGCTGTCTTTAATTATTGGGTATAAGCTGATTTGGGTGGCAGCTTTGTAGCTTAATGCTGCACTTACCTTACACCTCAATACATAGTAATTCATTGATTGGGGCGTCTCAGTGACTATATTGCCCTCAGGCCTTATATGTACTTTCTCAGACTCTTTGTAACGGAGATAATCGCAGAAACATCCTTAATGAGCATAGTAATATCAAGCAATATTCCTGCAGAAATATGTACAAGAAACAAATTATCTTAATTGCAATGAAAAAATAACACGTACCATTATAGTATCTAGTAGAATAATTTATTAAAATTGTATTTTCAAATATTTACCCAATGAAAAGCAATAATCCAAAATCAAATGAGAAAAATAATGCCAGTAATTAATGAACAGTGCTAAAAATAATGTATCCGATAGGAAATGTCTCCAGTAATATTAATAGCATCCTGACTTCAGCGGAATTGATAACATGACTGTTAGTAGGAACACACGTTATTTACGCTCCAAAAATATCACACAGTACAAGGCCAGTGATAATAGTAACCTTTACCTGTATACATTAAACATTTTCGACCTGCGTGTTGAAATTAGGTGAAAGGGAAATGGTTATTTCAGGTGAATGTACGAGAGGCAGAATATTCTCCCCAAGAATACTCGCCTTACAATTTTCTCCACCATAAAGCTGCTTCTGATTTGATTTTTTTTTTTTGCTTCTATGAGAAATATTGGATTGGACGATATAAATTAGATAAAATAGATAAAACTAGTAAAAAAGCGAAGACAGCTCAGTTTATTTTTTAATATAACGTGATGGTGCAAGAATCTCAGAGAAACCTTGAGTTTAAAGTAGTTGAATGGATATTAAAGCCAGTGTTTTTTAGTGGTTATGGTGCCAGCAGTGCCATCACCAACCCCAACGTAAGAAGTCAAACCACATCACACCTAATCTCTACCAGAAAGCCTCTTCATCGAACAAAGCAGGGCTTAGCTCATTGGTTGAGAGCAATCGGCTGAAACTCTCAGCTAATGAGCTGGAACCTTCACTGCTGGGCTTAGATGAGGAAAGCTAACTGAATTGACTAAGCAGAAACTTTCAACTTCACTTCCATAGAGAGCTTGTGTCTGGTGTCACCCAGCAGACTCCAGGTAAGAAGTCTAACTATACTTAAACAATTTTACTAATTACATTGGGGGAGCACCAGGGAACTACAGGCCCCATAACAACTAAAGGATCATTGAAGTGATTATTGAACTTGGAGTGCTCCTTTAACAGGAATATTATATATAATGTTTAGCTTGGAGCCAGGGAAGTACAAATGAATGGTGTTTTTTGCAGGTGGGTGCTTTCTGCATCTCATTGCTACAAGCTGTTTGGATGTTTTATCTGCACCAGATAAACAATTACTTTTTATGTAAGATACACCAAGGCTGTTTTGACACCAGCAGGCAGATTCTATGCCTGTTGTAGCTATATATGTGAAAATATAGATGTGATACAGACTTCCAAAACAGCTGGAATGACAATAACTTGTCTATGGAATTAGAATTGATGTATGTTTCTCCTACCTTCCCTCTGGCAGGAACAATCAGGTCAGAGTGGGTGAGCACAACATCGCTGTGAGAGAGGGCACTGAGCAGTTCATTAACTTTGCCAAGGTGATCAAACACAGCAACTACAATCATTTTACCTTTGATAATGACATCATGCTTATCAAGCTTGACTCTCCTACCCCCATGAATACCTACGTGAATCTGTGTCTCTGGCTGTCCCACTGTTGGTACCAGCTGTATAAGCGCTGGCTTGGGAAACACACTTAGTGATGGACGTTAGCCCCAGCATTAAGAACAGGTGTTCAGCTAAGTCTGAAATGGATCCACATATCATTTTATTAGAGAGGATTCTTTGTGTCCATTTGCGCTCATTTTCATGTAAAATGGTTCTTACATTTATAATAGACCCTATTATATGCAGAAATTTAGAGACAAAATAAAAGCTAATGGGAGGTATAGTTGTTTTTATTTATGAAAAGCTTTTTCTTGTAGATATTTAACCCAGATCTCCAGTCAAGATGCAATTCTTTAGTGTGAGTGAGAAAATAAAAATGGCCTTTTTTATACGTGAACGTACAGGTGAGTGTTTAATAAAACATCAGAGAGCTCGATACATTGTGTATATTCTCTTACCTTGTATGCTATTTGCTGAATGTCATATTTCTTCTTTCTGTCTCCATGTTCCTGAGAACGTGCAATATAATGTGAGAACTTCCAGATCTGCATCAGTCAAAGCACAAGGCTCAAACCTTCACACAAAGGTGAGTAGAGATTAAATGTGCAGAATGGTTTTTGTTTTTTTATTGTGTCATATTTTCTTTTGTGTTCTTTCTTTTACTAATGTTTTAATTACTCAAATGTTCGATTACAACAAAAAATTGCTTAAAGAGAGAGTTTCTTCTTGTTGATTACTGTTGATTTGCTCCAGATGTGAAAGCAACGGGCAGGATGAGACAGTTTACTCTTTGAAGAGGAAGACAAATGTATAAAAGAAACATAACCTCTTAATTTTTAATATGTATATTTTATGCTGACATTCATAAATAAAATTCCATACATTGACTTTCCTGGTCTAAGTTTAGAAGACATTATTAGAATATTTTTCCTATGCAGTCTTCACCTCTATCACCTAGGTGTTTAACATGCAACCCATGGGCCAAATGCAGCCAGCCGAGCCTCAAGGTGCAGCGGTCCGTGGAGCCATGCTGAGAGGGCATATCGGGTGGCCCATGCACTTAAGGTCAGCCGATGGCATTGTTTCTTCAGGGGCCCGGTCAGCACTGCGGCCCTTTAACAGCACGACTGGGCCTCTGTGATGATGTCAATCAGTGCTGGGAGGAAGTAACAACTGGTCACTTACTCCCAGTTAACAGTGTCACATGGGAGGAAAAGGCAGCAGGCACAGACTGGGAGAGCTGTAGCTCTGACTCCCAGCAGCCTCAGCCACCTACTGGACACTAGGGATCCAAAGGAAACAGAAGGGTGGCTAAATTTTTTTACATATTGCATGTTTGTTTGTGTGTCTATATGTGTAACTGTGTATCTGTATGTGTATCTATCTGCATGTCTGTATGTGGATCTATATGTGTGCCTGCATGTGTATATGTGTGTCTGTATGTGGATCTATTTGTGTGCCTGTATGTGTATCTATCTGCATGTCTGTATGTGGATCTATCTATGTGCCTGAATGTGTATATGTGTGTCTGTATGTGGATCTTTTTGTGTGCCTGTATCTGTATCTATCTCTGTGTCTTTTTGTGTATCTGTATGTCTGAATGTACATATGTGTGCCTGTATGTGTATCTATCTTCATGTCTGTATGTGTATCTATCTGTGTACCTGCATGTGTATCTGTGTGTCTGTATTTGTATCTATCTGTGTGCCTGAAGATGCATCTGTATCTGCATCTGTGAATGTGTATCTATTGTATGTGTGTCTGTCTGCTTGTGTGTCAGTGTGTGTCTGTGTATATGCATGTTTGCCAGTGTATGTATATATGTGTATCTGCATGTGTGCCTGTCTGTGTATCGAGATGTGTGTGTGTCAGTGTGTGCCCCTGTGTATCTGTATGAGGACACAGTAATTACTTGTGAGTGGTCTGTTATTTATATATCTGTGTCATCTATTTTACCTGCCATCTTGGTTTAGGTGGAACACTTATTTAGGTAATTGTAATCATTTAATCTACATGTGATTAAATTAGATGAGATATGTGGAGGTGGCTTTTTTCAGCACATTATAAATAGTACATTTTTATACATTCTTGAGATTAATTTGGCTAGTCACATATTTTGTGGGGGATAAGGATCCTTCATAAAGACAGGATGGGTGGATATATTTATACTGGTTGCTGCAGCACTAAGCAGTCCGTACCCTGTTGAGCCACCTAAGCAGTGTGCAACACTGGACTGAGGTTGGTAAAATCCCAATATGCAAGTAAAATAACAGAGCTGATCCAGGCACTCAAGAAAGACATAATGGCAGTTTTAATGAAGATCAGTGCATATTAAAAACATCAGCAATGTTTTGAGCTCCAAATGAGATATTTGACAAGCTCATATAACTTGACAAAGGCCTTGTTTACAGGTCAAAATGTTGCTACTGCTTGAAATATGCACTAATCTTCATTAAAACTGCCCTTCATACATCCTTGTGTGCCCGGACTATCTCTGTGATTTTATATCCAATACTTGCCACATTCCATTGCTGTTACAGTGTCTCACATACAGCGTTGTGGAAACATGGCACATCTATGGTAGAAAAACAGTGGTTCAGTAGGACCATCTTGGTCATTGATGAAACACCAAGCAAGAGCTATTTGCACATTTTGGCCATAGATGCTCATTCCTCCCATTGCAGTGACCTCTCCTACAATCCTACATTTAAACTTTCTGAGCTATTCACTAAAGTGAGAATTGTCTGGAATTCAAAGGGATTTTCAAAATTTAGACAAACAAAATTTGAATTTATGATACTGTAAACCATTCAGCCTTAACAGCAGCAAAACACCATTTAGATTTCAGTAAATATCACATTAAAAATGCCTTAATACTGGGCATGTCCTCTCTCTGTCTCGGTTGTAGGTTTAATTTCACCTATCTTAAGCAGCACACATAAATGCCAATATATGCTCTGAACTGGGGATAAAGGTGAGATGTTCATGAGGTTACAGTGAAATAAAAAAAATATCATCTAATTGCATAAGCATGGGTTTTGCAAAACGAACCCAACCTCACTTGAAATTAAAGCTTGTTCGTGTTGGCCTATTATCTGGATCTAAAGAGAGAGAGAGAGAGAGAGAGAGACACACACAGACAGATGGATGGATTGACAAACAGATTGGCAGACAGACAGATTTCATATTTTTGAATGTGTTTGGCGGTGTGAATGTGAAATGCAGTTTGTGTATATGAAATTCTGCACATTGTGTGTGTGTTTTTAAGTATCTAATTCAATGCATACTGCATGTGTCCTTTGTATGTAACATTTTAAAGTGTGCAAGTAAAGTGGGGTGTGACGCTGACAACAATTATATCCATTTAACAGTATATCCATTGACACATATACCCACTTGCATTCTGTCAGCACTGCAAAATTAAAATTAAACAAGTGTACCTTTTAAGTATATAATATGACAATATTATAAACGGGACCAGTCAATACAAAAAACCTCGCTGCAAACTGTGTCAGCACATATGCACAGACAACACAGCCACACACAACAATAAGACCTACAGCATTAAAGGTTCATACTACTGCACATCCAACAATGTGGTATACATGATTCACTGCACCAAATGCCATCTAGGATGCTACATTGGGGGAACCGCCAGCAATAAATGGCAGAATGAATATGCACAGACACTCCATTAAACATCACAAAGAAGGATCGTACTGCACTCCTGTGGGACACCACTTTACCCAACCTGGCCACTCAATGGAGGACCTAAAATTCAAAGTACTGAAAGGGGTTTTAAAAATACCCAAGAAAGAAAAACATTTGAAACCAGAATGATCAAATTGTTTAACAGCAAGAATAGAGGAGTATATATTGATTTGGGTTTCATGTCCCACTACCAACACTTTACATGAACACTCCCCCACATTATCTTACTGTTCTGTCATATGTATCAACACTTTAAAACACATTCCAATATGTTTATTCTATCACTATACAAAGTACTATGTGTAGACCTATGCTTTCTCATACTCTTATGCATGTATGCCTATATATGTGACTGTGCATTTATATTTGTGTATATGATTTAATGTGCATGTATGTATATATGTATATGTGTTTATGCGTTTGCATATACATATATGTGTGTGTGTGTGTGTGTCTGTGTGTGTATATATATATATATATATATATATATATATATAAAGTGTACCATCTTCTGCACTGTCTGCTTGTTGTTGTTTTTTTCTCCCTCTCTCCCCCCTCACTCTGATCTTCAGAAATATTTCGGACCCTCTGCAAGAATGTTGTCTATTTTCTATCAAACCTGTGTCTTATCTGCACTCATGTCACTTTAACCCCTGTATCACAACTCAACTTTGAATTCTATGTGTTGTCTTGCTCAGAAATGCTTCAGACTTGAGAAAGGGAGGTTCTCCGTAAAAGTCTGTCATTGAAAAATCCTGTTAGTCCAATAAGAAAGGTATTACAAGATACAGATTTTATCTGTTTTTTACATCTACATCACTGGACTAATACGGCTACAATCTCTATATGACAATAATGCAGAGATTGCCAAAGAGGCCATCTACAACTCAGTACAGTATGCTGTTCCCTCCCTGGAGCTGTCCCTGTTAGTGGTGCTGAATGAAGCTGCAGGTTTTGTGCTCAGTGTTGCTCAGGGATTTGTAACTGTGTTTACTGACGGCACAGAAATACACAGCCGAATCTGTAGTCTCAGAACTGGACAATTTTAGGGTGGACTTCAGAAGAGTTGTTCTGTTCCAAGTCCACGACTCGAACCCATCTTCCATGGCATCAGACTTGGCATTATCACTTGTAGAATATATCATAAGCTTGAGTCCCTCTTCGGGGCGCTGTTGATACCAAAACATTGTAGGATAGCTGGAGTCATCATATATACATTGTAGTTCTACAGGACTCCCAGCCTGAACGATGATTAGTTTAGAACCCTGTTCAACCTTCACCCCAAGACACAGACCTGTCAGAAAACACAGAAAGATTAATAAATATAAACTTTTTTTTTATATAATAATAATAGGTCCAGTGTTTAATGTTTTATGGACTGATGGGCATACAATAAATTGTAAAACAGTTTTACATCTCACAAACCTTAAAATCATATTAAATTGTAAATTAAATCTGCAAAAGACATTAAATCCTTGATAAATGCATGTTTGCATGCTACCTAGACTCAGCTCAGTGTAGTGATTTAACTACAACTTCATCACCCAAATCCTTCTAATCCCTTATCTTTGCCTCCCCATACTTCTTATATGGTGTCCCACAATTCTGCCTCTTCTCAGGATTAGTGTCTCTCCTGTATCTCTCACACAGCCTCCCCATCACTGCTTCCCCTCTACCTTTCACACAGCCTCACTGTCACTGCTTATCCTGTATCTCTTACTTGGTAGGAAGACTAGCACTGTATATAGTGAGATTGACATGCACATTTTCCCCATCCTGGAACAAGAATAAAAGTCTCTTTAAAAGTCTTGTGAAATGTATGGTGTAGGAGTTCTTTTGATGAATAATGCTCTGTAAACCAAATGAGATAAAGCTTTCTGATCCCGTGTGATAACCTTCCACAGCATCAAGTCCTCTGGCCAGACAGTAACAGCTCACACAGCACATTATGAACATTTCAGATACATTCTGTGGTTTCTCTCTTCCTGCCTTATTCAGGAAGGCACATGTCTATAAAGTCAGGTGCTCACAATTTATAATAACTGAGAGATATTTCCTCACCAGCTGTGGTTCTGAGAGCTGCACATAAAGATGGTATAGAAACCTACTGGTAGCAAATGTAAACTGCAATGAAACTCCAAATCCCAATATATAGTAGGCAACCTTCAATATTCCAGATATTGTGTGCTACAACTCCTATAACACTCTTACAGCCATAACGTTGGCAAAGCAATAGAAGAGCTGTAATCCAGAACATCTGGTGTGTGAAGGCTGCCTGACCCACCCTGAAGGGGGTAAGAATTGTAGGTAGACATATGTTTTACAAATGTACTTTAATATAAATATATATATTACCTTTTGGTGGGCACAGAAATATTTTGTACTACAGCTGTTGTGGTCTAAAGATTCGATCATGTTCATGTCAAGTTCTGTCTTGGATTGATGGGAGTTGTATCCAACCTCTGTTGTAGACCCAGGATCTCTCATTTATCATTATGAGCTTGAAAAAAAAGAAAAAAGGTTATTGGAACTTTCATGAAGTATTTAGCAAGCCGACTATAGACTGTGATCCAAGGGAAAGTGATTGCTAGAAGTGAGATTGGCCTATAGCAATACTATACAAAGACCATGTTCAGTATGATCACCTAGCTCTTGATAAGCATGGTGAGAGCCGCATTCCATATTGCGGTATTAAAAGTAAATTACACATTTAGGGTAATTCAGTTAACAGGGAATCGACTGTAACAGAACAGAGAATAGCAAACTTTAAAATTAACGAAATAATAGTTAATTAGGAATACACAGTGTGTATATAATTTGTGCAATGTATGTGTTGCTGTGTATAATGTGTATGAAATTGTGTATTGTGTGTTTGACATTGTGTCTGTGTTGGAGATGATGTTTGTATGATCTAGTTTATGTATATATGAGACAGTGTTTCACTAAACCATGGATTTGTGGAAAACTGCACCAGAGTTGTAAAATTTAGGCAAAACAAATGTAAACTGGAAAAATCCTTCAATCTAGCTTTTTGGCCTATAATTTGCAATCCTCCACAATTATACAACTGGGCAGAGCCGGAGGGGAGGACTCTGTATCCCCCTCAATGCTGCTACCTGAGGCACACCATAAATGCTGGCACTGCACTTCATCATGTGGCATCTTGGATCAACCTCTGGTGGGAATTCCCATTAATCATGCTATATTGGCATACAATTGATACACATAAATATTCTCAGATTCATTGTCTCCTTTTCTCCTGGCCCGTCTTACTGCATGACATGACCACCTCAACCTCAGCCTACAACTTGTCATTTAAAATAAGGAAACAGAATATAGCTAAACATCTCACTACTTTTTGTCTAACTGACCCTTGTTATGTCTTCAATATTCTGCTAAACAGTTGACCTGAAGATTCAAATATTTAACATCTCTCCTATTTATATACTTGTTCTCAACACTTTGGGCTACAATTATGTGACAAAACAAGCTGCTGTCGTTTTTTTATGTATTATGTAGCTTTCTCACACAGTTTAGTTTTTTCATCATTGAAGCCTCAGGCCGTCGCCGAAAGCCAGGTGAATGAGCAAATGGGTGTATTTTGGGGTTAACCCATTCATAAACTTCTTAAGGTAAGATGGCACCCAGGACCACCTGTCACCATAACAACTTAACTGAGAGGTTGTTATGGTACCCAGAGTGTTCTTGTAATGCATATTTTTTAGGTTGTATGTAAAAACAAAAAAAACATTTGTTACAGAAAAGAAAAGTAATTTGCAATCCATTCACTTTAATTTAATTTACCATTTAGTGTAGAATAGAATGCAAAGTTTACTGAGCTGTCATGTATAACAAATATGTGACACTATATTATTTGTAACTAGAGTTGTGTCTGTCACTCTGAACCCAACAGACATACACCCCTAAGTATTCACACAGAAGGCTGAAGGACACACATATTAATAAATGTGCAGAAACATGTGCTCCCTGCTATGTGAGAAACATAAAGAATGCTTTTACATAATAGCAGTGTAGAAGTTATAGAACATCTCCCCCTGCAGGTAGCTTTGGTAAATTCTTAATTTCCTGGAGCTGTCCCTGTTAGTGGTGCTGAATGAAGCTGCAGGTTTTGTGCTCAGTGTTGCTCAGGGATTTGTAACTGTGTTGGCTGACTGCACAGAAATACACAGTCGAATCTGCAGTCTGAGACTTGGACAATGTCAGGGTGGAATTCAGAAGAGTAGGCCTGTCCCAAGCCCACGACTTGAACCCATCTTCCATGGCATCAGACTTGGCATTATCACTTGTAGAATATATCATAAGCTTCAGTGCCTCTCCTGGTTTCTGTTGATACCAATACATAGCAAGCATGCTGGTGTCATCGTGTTTACATTGAAGCTCAACTGGGCCCCCAGCCTGAACGATTATTAGTTTAGAACCCTGTTCAACCTTCACCCCAAGACACAGACCTAACAGAACACACAGAAAGATCAATCAACATAAAGGTATGTAAAACATCAGATCCAGTGTTTATTTTTGATACATTGATGGGCAAACAATAAATTGCGTATCAAATATTAAAATGAAGGATGTCAATGACTAAAAAAGGATATTCCAAATGTATTCATTGTTAAATATCACCCGGTCTCAACTTATTGTAGAGGTTTAACTAAATTTTCATCACCCTTACCCTTTTGCCTATTTTTGCATCCCCATACTTCATACATGGCTTCTCTCATTTCTTGCTCCTCTAAGCTATCTCATGAACTTGCACCATCAGTGATTCCCCTGTACCTCTCACACAGCCTCCCCATCACTTATTCTCCTGCACCTCTCAGAAAATCCTTCCCATCAATGCTTCCGCTGTATCTCTTACATGGTAGGAAGACCAGCGCTGCATGCAGTGAGAATGACATCCACGTTTTCCCCATCCTGGAACAAGAATATAAGTCTTAATAATAGTATTGTGAAATGTATGGTGTCGGACGTCTTTCAATGATTAATGCTCAGTGTGCAAACCAAATTAAATAAAGCTTTCTGATCCCATGTGATAACCTTTCTCAACATCAAGTCCTCTCACCAGACTGTTACAGTTCACATTGAACACTATGAACATTTCAGATACATTCTGTGGTTTCCCTCTTCCTGTCTTATTCAGGAAGGCACATGTCTATAAAGTCAGGTGCTCGCAATTTATAATTACTGTCAAAGTTCTACTCACCAGCTGGGGTTCTGAGAGCTGTACATGAAAATGATATAGAAACTTACTGGCTTTGAATTTAAACTGCAATCAAAACTTGGAATCTCAATAGTTAATGGTTTGGAATATGTAGCAGAACTACATTATACTTTGGATTCCTATTATAATATATTTAGAGTGGAAAGCAGGATTTAATGAATCCTAAGGAATTTATATTAATTTGAGATAAAGATATAGCTTATGAAGATAATTTTAATATAAATATATGTAATTTATCTTTGGGTGGGGACAAATACCTGTGTACTACAGCTGTTGTGTACTACTACTTCCATCATAATCTGTCTCATATTTATGGGAGTTGTGTCCTATGTTTGTTTTAGATGCAGGGACTTTAATCTGTTATTTGGAGGTTGAAAAAAAAGTTATTGGAACTTTCATGAAACATTTAGAAAAACCAGCTGTAGACTGTAATCATCCAAGGGATAGTGATTGCAAGAAGTGAAATTGTCCTATAGCAATACTATACATAGATTATCACTACTAGCATCACCTTGCACTATTACATGTGAATAACATAATTAGGGTAATTCAGTCAACTATTGGAATGAAACAGGGAAACTTTAGGTAAAAATATCAGAGCTTATTATAGTTGACTTGTTGTCCAGTTTGATTAAAAAAAAATAGAATATTCCCCTGTCACCTCCAAACTATTCATTATTTAGTTAATAATGGATGCACTGTGTGTATTTAATATGAGCAACTCATGTGCTGCTGTATATAATGTGTATGATATTATGTATTGTGTGTTTGACACATCGTTGTAGATGATGTGTATTAATGAAGGCCCTCATTTTATTCTAGTAACCGAAAACAGTCGATAAATAGCAACTGTTTATGGTTGAATTTGTTTTCTATAAAATGTTGACAGGATTTATTGTCAGCTGAAACTCTAGCAGCCAAACCTAATAACAGGTGGGTACTCTGTAGATAATTAATCCCCAAAAAATTGTGTTTCAAAAGCACAGTTTGTCAGCCTCTTTAATGACAAGCCTTGTTAGTTGTTAAAAGGATATTAAGTAAAAGCCTATGGGGGTAAATATGAACTCACATTAGAACAAAGGAGTATTTAATTCTCCCACATGCCCCCAACTAGCCATGCCACAAGTAGGGGCATGCCCACCAAACAATGAGCAGCCATTTGTTGCTCACTGTGGCTATTGCTGCAAAGTCGCTAACAGCATACAGGTTATTCTAATTAAGTGATGGACCTGTCCACCTCCTGTGCTCCCACCCATGGCCAGTGGGTAAGGGCTAATATATTAAAAAAGCCATGTAGATATTCTTATGTCCCCCCAGCAGCCCCGACATTGGAGGGAATTAATTGAATAATAAATAGGAGCGACCCAGGCCTCAATTTAATTTATTTTAATCAGCATCAGAAATTATTTGAAAAAAACGTAACAAATAAGTTATCTGCAAATATTCCCCTAGACATCAATAGTGATTTCTACAGATAAATCATTAGGAAAGGGTTTTTTGTTTTTTTTTTGTAACAGACTGGCATCGTTTCTGATGCTGATTTAAACCTCACAGACTTGTCCTCTAATTGTACACAATGGCGGTATAAAGGACAAACAGATTAATGAATATGTTGCACTGTGTGCTTCCTGCTATGTGTTACAAACACAACAAAAATGTTAAGAAAAAAGTGCATGCCTTTTACATTTTGTATATATAATATCATTGTAAGAGTTGTACAATCGCTCCCCTGCAGTTAACTTTATTGAGTTGCTCCTATCCTGGAGCTGTTCCACTGAGTGGTGCTGAATGAAGCTGCATGGTTTTATGCTCAGTGTTGCTCAGAGATCTGTGACTGTGATCACTGACTGCACAGAAATACACAGCCGAATCTGCAGTCTGAGAACTGGACAATTTCAGGGTGGAATTCAGAATAGTAGGCCTGTTCCAAACCCATGACTTGAACCCTTCTTCCATGGTCTCACTATCAGAGTTTGCAGCTGTTGAAAGAACCATAAGCTTCAGCTCCTGTCCGGGTCGCTGTTGATACCAATACATTCTCCAAAGGCTAGAGTCATCATGTTCACATTGGAGCTCCACCGGTTTTCCAATCGAAACGATGATCAGTTTAGAACCCTGTTCAACCTTTACCCCAAGACATAGACCTGATGGAAACACAGAAAGAGACAATATTTTTTTTTTTTTTAAATATCTTATCCAGTGTTTCATGGGCAAACAATACATTCTAAAAAAATTTAGATCTCACAAACCTGATGATCCATGATCCTACCCTATCTCTGCTCCCCAAGTTACATTCATTAATTTAAATTGAACACATTGTGCATGTAAAACAATTATCTCTCATCATTGCCTCTATCTATACCTCTTACATGGGAAGATGATCAGTGCTATATGCAGTGAGAATAGTGTCCACATTCCACCCATTAAGATATAAATGCCAAGTCTCCTGGGACAAACCTAACTTTCTCCTTAGTGTTTGCTGGTATAGTGACTTCTTTCAATGAGTAATGTATTACAGATAACTTAAGTGGTTTCTTTCTTCCTGTCTTATTCAGGAAGTGTTCTGTATATAAATTCAGGTGCTCATAATATATAATAACTGAATATTTCCTCTCCAGCTGCAGTTCTTCAGGAAGGTAATACAGACACCTACCAGCACTAAAAAAAAATGTAAAAATATAAATATATATCAAATTTCAAAATGTTACAAAATTAAAGTATGAAATATTTTTAAAGTGTATCTAAAAATATTAAATAATTTTAAAAACACAACGGCCTCAATTTAATTAGCGTTCCAAATGTTTCAATATTTTTAGATGATGATTTATCTATGGAAGTAACCTTTAAATTCTACTGGAATTTTTACAAATAAATCATTTAGAAAGATTTTCTAACAATACTGAATCATTTGGAAAGCTCTTTAAATTGAAGCCTTAGTTCCAAATTAGCACTTCATATATCCTAAGTGATTCGTATACAGATAAATATTTTGGTTCATGAAGATAATTGTAGAATTTTATCCTTAGCTGGAGGTACAGGTGTTGTAGACATCAAGCATTTGGTAAAACCATTTGGAGGCTACAAATCAAAGAAAATATTAAAATCCATGTTAGCTTTTGTAGCAGTAGCACTATTTAATTTGTCTCCAACGTTGGAATTAGTGTAGGACCCACCGATATTGGGGTAATGTGGTGTAGTGGTGGGCTTAACACAATATGGTCATATTGTGGCACTGAATCCCCATAAATGTTTGCTGAGATAAGTGATTTTAAGTAACCTTGTAAAATGTTAAACTGTATTTGTATGTGTGCGCTGTTCCTTAATCTGCATTATGCATACAATTTAGTCTTTATGGCAGCACCATTCCTGAGAAAAGCATGTTCTGGGTGTGCCCTCGACTCACTTTTTGTCTTTATTATGTAAGTGTGGAATCTATACCATATTCCTTTTGGGTTAAGCACCCCACTCAGCCCCAAAGCTTCAGAGGCCCCTTTGGAGGTAATCACAGGAAAGTGTAAATTTGAGGAGGATTTGGATAGTAAAATCACTTTAAAGGAACACTATAGGGTTAGGAGCACAAATGTGTATTCCTGACCTGACAGTGTTAAACTATTTAGCCCCCCCGTACCCTCCTCCATGGCCCCCTTTAGTATAGTAATTATTGACCTTATTTCCGCCTATGCTTTACCACCTTTACTGACATCATCAGAATTAATTATCTTAGCCTATCACAATGCTTTCCCATACAAAAACATTGAATTAGCCGAGATTGTCAATTCTAATGACACCCGCCAAGGAGGAAGGCCGGTTGGCAGAGCAACATGCATCTCTATGTGGAAAGTTTAGCATCTCCATGCAGAGCTCCAGGGAGATAGTGGCCTTCTGAAGAGTGGCTGTGACAGAACCATCTGTCTGTTTATTGTGGTGGATTCATCTGTTTCTGCCCCGTTCGTGTAAATGGCTGTTTCCTATAGCCCAGCCATACGAATGACTGTTTTTCCCGAACAAAACTACCGAACAGATGGCCACCCAGGAGAGAAGTGTGCTGCTGGTTAACCTATTGATCCCAATTAGAACGTTGTGGTTAACCGCAGACACTTCTCAACTAAACCGAATTCAGGGAGGTCGTCGTTCGTATGTCAACCACGAGGCAGCGGCCATTTTAAAACACGCGAAAGCCCAGCGGTGTTCGGCTCTATTTTCATGGAACTAAAAACGGACACTTTTTCTGCCGAACACCACTGAAACAACGGAACGCCTGGCTGCCTCCACGAAAGCGTACGAACACCGGCCGTTCGGGAGTTTTGAAACACACGAAAGGACTTAACCCAGATAGCCTTCCCATGGAGTCAATCGCATACCGAAAGACTGTAAGAACTTTGACTCCATGGCGATTGAACTATGTGTGTGGGATCTGAGCGCTATTCGCCAATAGTATGCACTCAGATCCAGGCTATCTGGGGATATGTGATGTGAATGGGAAATGTTCTGTTATTGTAAAGTTATATATTTTTATGTATTTTCTAGTATTATATTTCAGATGGCGATTGTCTTTGTCCTGGAGATAATTGAATTACTTCTCAATTATCTCCAGGGCAGAGGGGAGGAAACCATAGTGCATTGTGGGTAAAAGCTGTGACTGTATGTCTGGAATGTCTTCATGTCCATCTGTAATTCCAGTCTCCCATTTGGTCCCCTAGGGGAGTGTCCACCAAGTGGGAGACCTGCATAAATACGGGCAGGTAGCCCACAGTAAAGCCAGATCCTGTTTGACCCTCAATGCAGAGCTTCTGTCTCGTTATTGGGGGGATTTCTTCTTTGCGCTTAGAGACTGCTGGATGGAACCGAAAGCCGCTTGGTGGATATCGTTGTTCGGCGGCTAGCAGCAGTTCGTGGATTTCCGTTCGGGAGTTTGGAGCCTTTCACAGATCCCGGTCGGGAGATTACCGCTTCCCCTGGTTATGGTTCGTGTATTATAATTGATGCAAACGGATTACTAAATTGCGAAAGGGGAAGGTGAACTAAACGGCGGTTTCACTTAAAGACACCAGGGGTGTCTTAACAGTGGCCACTGGAGGTTTTCCTAGGCTGTAATGTAAACACTGCCTTTTCATAGTAAAGGCAATGTTTACATTAAAAAGCCTACAGGAACTGGCTATACTCACCAGAACAACAAAATTAAGCTGTAGTTGTTCTGGTGACTATAGTGTCACTTTAACATTAATTTTAATAGAGCAGAAATATAATTTGCATTGTGAGTATATACAACAAAGCACTATCACAACACACTTACAACAGATTATTAAACTACACTTAGACTTATTTTGCACTAGTACTATTTAATTTGTCTCCCACTTAATAATTAGTGTAGGACCTACCAATATTGGGTACTGTTAAGTAGTTGTGGGCTTAACACAAAATGGCCATATGGTGGAACCCATATTTGTTTGCTGAGATAGGTGATTTTAAGTAGCCTTATAGAATTTAGAAATGTATTATTATGTGTACGCTGTTCCTTAATCTGTATTAAACTTTTTGGTCATTACGGCAGCACCATTCTTGAAAAAAAGCTTGATCCAGGTGTGCCCTCAGTTCTCTTTTTGTCTTTACCATGGGAAATTTGGCATTTATTGTCTCCTATTATTCTCTATTGGAAATGATAAAATGTTCGACAGCAGCTAATTGCCAGTTGTTAACAGTTATATTTTGTAGAACTGAAACAATTGGTAATCACTGATTGTACTGACCACAGAAAAGCATTCATTTTATGTAAAGCCTCCTGAAGCTATTAAGCAGTTTGCACTGCAGCTAGTATGTTTATCTCCTATATACTACAATACAACTCCTATATTACTTTGCTTAAGATTGGTGTTTAAGTAACCTTGCAGGATTTAAAACTGTATTCGTGTGTGTGTGCTGTTCCTTTAATCTGTATTTTGAATTACTAATGATTTTGACAGACATTGTAGCAGATTCTATTGTCAGTTTAACTCAATGTGTGGTATACTGTTATTTTGCATATGTATAAATGTAAAATGTAATAAAAAATAGTGAATGGGTATGTTACTAAACCTCACAGACATGCATCGCTAGCTATACATGTCTGTAACTTACACAGATTAGTGAATTTACTGTACTGCAAGCTCTGTATTTTGTGGCAGCATTATTAGACAAATTGACATATGCCTTTACAATCCTATATATTAGCCAACAGCTGTGCAATAATCATAGCAGGGCTCCCCCAGCAGGTCACTATGGCACAGTGGCGTACATACCGGGGTCGCAGAGGTCGCGGCTGCGACCGGGCCCAGCCCACCAGGGAGCCCGACCACCCTGCGTCCCGGTATGTACCCACTGTGGCCAGCCTCTTCTCCTGGGGGACCCAGGAGCCGGCCACCTCAGGGCCCCCCGAGGCTGGCCCTGGTGTCACCCGGCAGACAGGCTGGCTGGTGCGTGAGGGAGCATTCTCCCTTGTGTGCTCCCTCTTCAGCTCCCTCGCACACCACACTGATACTGGAGCCGGAAGATGTGTTAGTGTTAGTGTGTGAGTGTGTGTGTTAGTGTGTGTTAGTGTGTGTGTTAGTGTGTGTGTTAGTGTTAGCGTGTGTGTTAGTGTTAGAGTGTGTCAGTGAGTGTGTTACTGTGTGTGTCTGTTACTGAGTGTGTTAGTTTGTGTGCGTCTGTTAGTGAGTGTTTGTTTTGTAAGTGAGTGAGTGTGTGTCTGTCTGTCAGTGAGAGTGTATGTATGTCATTGAGTGTGTGTGTCTGTTAGCTAGTGTGTATGCGTCTGTTCGTGAGAGTGTGTGTCTTAAGCACTTACCTTTCTCCAGCGCCAGACTCCCTTGGCGCTGGGGATCTCTCCACCCGATCCGCCTCTCAGCTCCAAAAGCGCATGCGTGGCAAGAGCCGCGCGCGCATTCAAACCGCCCATAGAAAAGGATTACTCAATGCTTTCCTATGGGCGTTCAGCGTCTTCTCACTGTAATTTTCACAGCGAGAATCGCGGAAGCTCCTTTAGTGGCTGTCTCTTTGATGGATTAATCCTGGATTAATCCTCAGCGAAACATAGCAGTTTCTCTGAATCTGCTATGTTTTCAGCTGCAGGGTTAAAACTAGAGGGACCTGACACCCAGACCACTTCATTGAGCTGATGTGATCTGGGTGTCTGTAGTGGTCCTTTTAAGTGTATGTGTATCTGCATGCACTGGCGTACAGACCGCGACCAGGTGCCTGCTGCCATGTGTTGCGGCCCCGGCCCGCGCAGAGTAAGCACGCGGGGGGGGCCACGGATCAGTTTTCGCACCAGGGCCCCATGGGTTGTGTGTATGCCACTGCTATTGCGTATTGTTCCCTCCCTAGACTTGACTCTGAGATTGGGCTCCACTGTGAGGTGAGAATGATAAGAGTTAAGACTGAACTGTAAG